TGACACCAGGTACGTCACTCGTAACTGATATATATGACCCACCTTACCTCGCGTGCCTAGTTCCCAAACCTGAACCTTGGGTTTGCCCCATTTGTTTCGACGATTCTCGAACGTCATTCCTCTCTCTATCATGTGACCATTCCTTCTGTGCAGGCTGCTGGACAGCATATATAACCTCCAAGATTCGTGAAGAGGGCGAGCATGCTATCCGTTGCATGGCTGAAGGCTGTGCACTTGTCGCACCTGACCCCTTCATTATGTCTACTTTAGAGAAATATGGTGAGGATGAAGATGGGCGGACTCGTGAGCGATTCCAGGAATTGCTCGTTCGGCACTTTGTCGGTGCTAACACACACCTGAAATATTGTCCTTACCCATCGTGCACTTACACCGTCTCGTGCCCTTCTGCTTCCTCCCGTTCATCCCTCACAACTATGGTGCCAACCGTCAGTTGCGGTGCAAATCATAAGTTCTGCTTTGGGTGCTCTATCGACAGTGACCATCGCCCAGTCATTTGTCCCGTCGCCAAGATGTGGTTGAAGAAGTGTAGGGATGACAGTGAAACTGCAAATTGGATCAAGAGTAACACAAAGGAATGTAGTAAGTGCCAGAGTACTATAGAGAAAAATGGTGGTTGCAAGTGCGTGTCTCATCTCGGAAAATATGATATTATGCTGATTGTTTTGTCAGCCACATGACTTGCAAGAAATGCAAGTATGAGTTCTGCTGGGTGTGCATGGGTTCGTGTCTCGTACATCGCCTCGTTTCATTCTGACATTCTGTCCCCTACAGGCCCCTGGTCTGAACACGGCACAGCGTGGTATTCGTGCAATCGCTACGATGAGAAGGCCGGTGTGGACGCCCGTGATGCGCAGTCCAGATCCCGTGCTTCCCTGGAGCGCTACCTCCACTACTACAACCGGTGGGCGAATCACGAGCAGTCCGCAAAACTATCGGTCGAGATGTACAATAAGACCGAGAAGAAGATGGAGGAGATGCAGATAACGTCCTCGCTCACTTGGATTGAGGTGCAATTCATGAAGCGTGCTGTGGAAGAGGCAGAACGATGCCGTGCCACGCTAAAATGGACGTACGCAATGGCGTTTTATCTGGACAAGGGAAATGAGAAAGAACTATTCGAGGATAATCAGAGGTAAGACATTTGATCTGGATTTCACCTCCGCTCTATCATATTCTACGGATCTGTTTAATCGGTTTTCTGTAGGGATCTGGAAAAAGCGGTCGAGGATTTATCGGAGCTGCTTGAATCACCAATTGATCCAGAAACAATCTCGACTTTGCGGCAGAAGGTGACTGATAAGACGGTGCGCTGTTTCTATACGTGTCACTATTACATACTCATCCTTGTTCACTCTTCAGGTTTATGTCGCGAAACGCAACGAGATACTATTGGAGGATACTTCCAATGGTTTTGCGGAAGGGCGCTGGAAGTGGAATATTGCGGTAGAGGGGTTTGAGTAGATGCCAGTCATTCTTCCCTGACACTGAGATTGCGCACTACAATTTTCCTTACTTGCACCTCTCCAACTTAGCACAATTTCATCATTCCCCTTCCACACTTGCCCTACCTTTAAGATATCCAACATCGTTAAATCACTGTATTTTTTGGACATTATCCGGACCGTGAAGCGTAATATTAAGAATTGAGCTGAAACTTGCTAGGATCTAGTTTAGACCTTCGATAGTTGAGTTATCCCCGTTCAAAGTTTTCGTGATAGATCCTGAAGTTAAGCCTCATGCACTTGAATTCAATACCGTTCGGTACTGATAGTTACATGGAGGGCGGCGGGCGGGCGGGGGCGGGCGGCATCAGAGAACCTGTGAGAAGAAGATATCGTCATATATCGTTATATATCGTAATATATAGGAAAGGTTTTCGTCACATTGTAATATAAAGTGATATAAAGCAATATATGACCATGTAAAAGCACCATAATCAGCATAATCCCCAGCAAGAACTCACCGGTTTACTGATCGGCGCCCGAGGGGCTGATGTCCTTTGGGCTGACATCGTGGTGTTACTTATATAACTGGTGTCTGGCTTGGTCTGCCATGACAGCCATGTTAATGGCATTACGCATAGCCTCAATAGCGATCTCGTGAGAGTACCCTGCGCGCTCGAATGACGCAAAGTTCAAATGCAATCTTGTAGCTGTGGACGATGGTGACGATCCAGGTGGCACTGGAGTTGAGACTAAAAATCTCACAGAATTTCTTCGTTGAATATTACCCGAATCTCAGTTGAAAAGGCACGATAGATGTGTCTGTGACCCTTTTGAGAGCTTGGGGGTAGAAGGCCGCTGCACTGTCCAAGTTATTCTGGATAGTACCTCATGATATTTGCAGAGATGGCGAGTACAAGGAGGATGCTTGATGCCGTGGACACACACAGTTGCACAGTGTACACTATGGAACTGGCAAAGGAGGTGATCGTGGCAGCCAAGGCCCAACATAAGTGATTTTAATTACAACAGGACCCAGGTGAACGAAGGTGATTTTTTATTACATAACCCTACTCAATACAATATATCCACTGTATATTATGTAATTATTACAAGGTTGTTTATCGTCTGTGTTTCAACATCTTTATTCCCCGACAATACGTATTCTCTGACGATCGATGCCCTGGCGGAACAACTGTCGCAGAGCCTTCTTACAAGCTTGCTGACAGATGTTGCATCTGAGTCCAATTTCTCTGAGTGTATGAACGAGTTGGCCAGCAAAGACCCTCCCGTTGCTCAGAAACGAGCATCGTTCTCGACAAGAAAACAACGCCTATCTGACATTCGCCGGAGACTCATGACTTTCGGCAATAATATTTAATTGCTGCGAGGGAGTTGCGATGTATTTTTGTCCGTTAGACATATAGGTCTTCCCTCTTGTTGACCTCCTGTCGACTTCTATCGTTGTTAGTGTAGTGGTTGTTGAACTTTTCCGTCATGTGCTTGAACGTTGTTATATTGCATGTTCGCGAACAAAGCAATCGGGTTCTTTGTTCGTACTGTTACATCGCTACCTAAATCAAGGAGGCAGCCCTGGGGTGGCTGACCTGACCCCTTAATCGACCTCGACTGGATTCCAGGTAATTGCGCCCTCCTTCCCGCGGTCCAACGCGTCAAGCTTTGCCATGTCCGTAGGTTCGATTTCCCAACCAAATACTTGGCCGTTGGATATGATACGTTCGGGCTGCGAGGATTTGGGTAAAGGCACAAATCTAGGTGGCACCAAATAAGAATATTGGCACATACCAATTGTGCCACTCACCCTCGTTGCAAAGACCACCTAACAAGAATTTGAGCAGGATCTTTGGAGTACTACAACACATCAAACATCATGACGCAATCAGATACAGTATATGGTCACCTTTGTAGAGAGCTCCTGGATGACTCGATTATCGAGAGCACCACGCACAAGAGGGGAGTAGGCCTGGACAACGATGTTGTTCTTCCTACAATATTCGACAATGGCTTTTTGCTGGCAGAACGGATGTAACTGGTGACAATTTCAGCTTCCTCCCAATAGTTGTATGAGCCAATCGTAGAATTGCTCACCTCTATTTGGTTCACAACGGGAATTTCTAGACCAGCCTCACGAATCTCTTCTATGTGCTTTGCTGAGCTGTGTAACTGTCAGCCGAGAGGGTACCTATGGGTGGTGATACCTACTAATTGGAGACACCGACAGATTTGATCATCCCACTCGCTTTGCCGTCCAAAAGAGCCCTGTAGGCGGCAAGACGTGCGTCTTTGCCTCCCGTGGCGCTGTGGGTCAGGTATAAATCATAATACGCTAGTACCTGTCTTATGAGCCATATACATTATTAGGAAGGTAAGACTTGCAAGATCCAAGGTTCGCGATCGAGTCTTTCAAAGCAGCCGTCGCGCCATCATAGGTGTAATCTGTATGGAAGACCTTCGAAGCTACCGCAACAAAGAGGATCAGATATGGGAGAGGTTGATGTCCAGGAGCTTATCCTCACTGATAAAGACGTCTTCGCGTTTAACGCCACTTTTTCCTACCCCAACACCGACTTGAACTTCATTCTCGTAGTGCCGGGCCCCATCGATCATCCTATAATGATCTAACTGAGTTTTGCAACTTTGACTGATGTGCAATACCTACCGGTAACCATTTTGAAGGGCAACCCTGCAAGCTTCCGCGCATTCATCGTTCAAGGAAACACCAAGCCCAATAGCGGGCATGGTGTGGCCTAAACGATTTGTGTTGATAAGATACTACGTGAACCTATGGTGACGAAAACTCACCATCAAAGAGTGTAACTGTTTCAACCATGATTTAGATCTGGAGGGGTAAAGATAAGGAAAGAGCTAGCTATTTATGCGAGTCCGAAACATACGGCGTGCTTGGGACTCCGCTTAGTATGAATGCTATACGCACAGCTTATACTCTTCATACCGGAGTTGAAACGTTGACGCGAACTTCGCGAAGGCAGCTTACTATGTCAAGCAAGCAGGCCCAACGTGAGACCTGCATACTAAAGGCTTGAAGGAAGACAATGAGACCGACTTGCTCGCGCTCCTGAATGCTCCAACTGATGCCCGTTCCTGGCTTTGTGTACGCTCGTGGACGGCTGTCAGAACCACCCCTGCCAAAGATGAAGCGCAAGTGGATGCCTTACTGCGAACCTTCACTTCTTCTCGCTCCAGAACACCTCGATCCCCATCTGATGAGGGTTTGACTTCGCAGGGTTTAGGTGTGTTAAAAAATAAGGTGAAGAAGAGTATTAGAGGTCCATGTCAAGCTGCGCTGGTGCCTGAGTCAGATACTACACGATTTGATACGGTTGGGGGCGGTGGTGACTGCAGAGAGACGTTTGCTGGTGCCAACCAACTGACTCCGACCATAAAGTTTGCGCCCTGGCACACGAGACGCGCGCGGTAGGGTGCGGTGAAAAATTATCCAGCCAGTTATTAACTGGGTTATTAACCCAGGAGATGGCAGTTAATTATTAACTGACATTTTTTAACACATATTGACAGTCGGCACGTGATTTTTTCGTTCAAGCTAACTGGTCGAAAACAGGTGTTATTAACTATTCTTGATGAAAAAACTTCTGTGCGCTGGGCAATTTCACTTCCAGACCCATTCGCCATCGGCATCGTCGGCGTCATCAATGCAAGCCACCATTCAAGTTTGCTCTCTCTTCTTACCTTCGACACACTCCCTTGGGGTGGATCATCAGCGAGAATTTTTGAGTTCCGGCACGTCCAAGTCAATGTCTTCCTCGGCATCGAAAGTGGAATCACCAGGCATGTTTTCAATTTTGTCATCGAGCCAGGTATGAGTATCTTCATCAAGTATCTCCTCGTGTTCATCACCGTTTTCAATAATCAACGAACTTCCTGTGATACTGTGCGTCCGCGAAGCAGTGCTCTTTCCTTTGCCGAAAATGACTTGCTCAACATCAAAGAAGTCCAATGTGGGTTGCTCGCGCAAGCGGAATTTCTGTAAATTCAAGGTGTTAGAAATGTGCTGTGTAAAAACGATATACTGACCTCGGGATCATACATATGCCATTGTCTGATCTGTGTTATATCTACGAGTGTTTGGACTTGCTGGCAATTTCTGAGGACCGAGTTCATTCGGGTGAAAACGGACATGGTACGTTCCTCAGGCATGTCATTCGGCTTCACAGAAAATATTTTCTGTGCGATGCACCAAGGGCTGATAGATTAGCACAATATCAATGTCAATGGACGAGCAACAACATACTGCAAGGACAGCACCTTCAGGAATCCGAGTGAGATGTATAACGGCATGCCTAGGATGCCATGGTAGGACATTGTACATTATTTACAGTTCTTGACCGGTGTCCCTCCAGCGTTGAATTATTTACAGTTAATAACCCGGTTAATAACTCGGTTAATTAACCGCTGTCAAAAATTATTGAATTTTTCACCCCACCCTAGCGCGCGGGTGGACAACGCTCGATCATCATATAAGATTACATAATTGTTGCTCTTCACGTTGACTGGTTCGTTTGCTCAGGTTCAACTTGAATTTGTAATGCACGACAATTTCAATTCAGACACTGGCCCTAAATTTCGTCGGATTCTCATTCTCGCCGGGGAGTGCTCTAGTTCAAAGTCCTGGCCAGCTGATGTAGTTTTGCTTCTACATGAATAACCCTTGCCGACGATAAACAATCATGCCGGGGTAAGCACTGCAGCAGTCGACAGTCCACTTAACTCCTACAACAAGCCGGTGGATTTTATAGCCATGCTACTGCAGACAGCGTGCACATAAAGCTCTTACTTCGAATCAAACACGACGATGAAGATATTCACCATTTCTGTACCGTCTCCATTAAGTCTCTGGACAATCTTATGTTCGGTTGGTGCATTCGACGTTGCTTGTTCATCTGCCGCGTCATGGGCTTTTGTCAAATTCCTAAGGGTGCTTCGCTGGCGATCGAGGACGACTCAACTGCGAGGTGCGCCTCGTACCAGCTTCATATATGGTGTTTCGCAAGACCTCGCCTGATCTCAAGATAGTGCTGCGATGTATGAATGTTGGGCGGCGGAATATAGCCTGAGGGTAGCGTATATGACTCCGAACGTCCTCTGACAGACTGAAATTTTGCTACGCGACCCAAGAGCTATAGCACATTTCTGTGCCCGAGAGATGTGGATATTCCCCTCTCATTGGCAATTCTGGAGACATCAGTATGTTAGCGCCATCATCTTCCCTCGTCTGTTTCATATTTCTTGTCAGATCGGAAGAGGGCTGCTATGGTCTCAGGGCGAGACCCACAGGAGGTGCCCTCCAGCTCTTGTCCTTACGCAAGCGACTGATCGACTTCCTGCGAATTAGCCAGCGGAAGGCACTTGCACCAGCATTCAACAATGCAGGGATTCGGAAACTCATACCACTATTCTACGACTCAGTATACAATGTAAGGATTTGCGATGTGGGAAATGTAGCATTTCTGAACTTGATACTCTACAGGCCAAAGGTGTATGGAATATTGCAATAGAATCGAGCAAAGATGGAAATGCTACCATCGAGGTTCAGAATTAGTGCGGAGCTTTTCTGACTTGGCAAGTGGCATTCCTAATCGAAACGACTCAAAAGGATGGACCATATATCATACGCAAAAATATTTTTGTCATTGACACCTTGAAATGACGCAACATCATTCTAGACGTGGTTGGCATTGCTCGTTTCTTCCATGATTTTGGTTCGCTCGATGGGAAGCACGCCAGCCTGACCGAGGTGTTCGATACTTCCGGAAGCAACCAACGGGCTTCAGCAGTGAACCAGGTTTTTATCCTGCTCGGATCAGCATTTCCTATCATTACCAAGATCCATACTCAGCAGATGAATCAGCTCAAGAGACCATGAAACACATATTTAACGACTTATTGATTCGTAGCCGCCGGGAGAAGGGTGTGAATATGAGCGAGAGAGGAGAAGTCCATTGTTGGATCGTTGAGTACGCTCTCCGAGAGATTGATCATGGTCTCTTGATTAACGCAGCTATCAGTTAAATCTGAAGGTTCGGATGCCGAGCTTCATATGTCGAAGCACGTAGTGGGCTCAGGTCTGTGGAGACTTCTCGCAGGTTATGAGACGACATCCAAGTGAGTCAGTTTCTTGTCCGCTGCTATCATACTCGCTGACTTCCCATCGACAGTTAGTCTTACGGTAATCCTACTGTCTGTGCACGCTATCACTGTGATGATCAGTAGATGCTGATCGAACTATCGCGACGCTCTGATGTCCAACCCAGGCTCCGAGAAACTGCTTGCATTTGGCGCTGATCCGACATATGACCAATTAGAGGCTGACCTCTCATACTTGCATGCGGTTGTCCATGAAATTCTACAATTCCATCCTCTAGTGTTGGAATTCACTCGTCTCGTGAGTGTGTATGCCCACATGTGAACAGATACAACAGCAGGTCTACAGGCAGCGGCAGATGATGTTATTCCTTTGAGTGAACCTGTGCGCATAGTGTCCGGGAAAACCACAGATAGTATATCTATAGCGAAAGGAACATTGATTATATATTAGGTGCGGCAATCATTCGCTCTTCAGCCATCTGGGAATCTCACGAAAAGGAATTCAAGCCTGACTGTTGGTGACCAAAGACGGCATCGGTGAAGCATCTGCTGACATTAATCGTTGACGACCCGAGGACGTGTCTTGGAAAAGATTTTGCGATCGTGGAATTCAAGGTGAGTGGTGCGAATCAGCCGGTTGCTCACTGCGATGCAGATGGTTCTATCGGTTCTGGTGAAGAACTTCGTATTTGAGATGCGGGATGGACTGGATATTCCAGTCGAAATTGCAAGGGGATATTTACCCCGTCCACAAGTTGTTGGAGAAGATAGTATTGGGGTACCTCTGAGAGTTTGTTGGCACGAATGATTGGTGTTGCACTAGCGGGTTTACTCTGTTTACTACACTAAATCGAATGAAGATAGACAGCTGAATTTGCGAGAAGTAGTACAAAGGGGATTACATCGAGTGGCACTTCCTACAGGGATGCAAGATTAAGCTCACTAGTTATTTTTCCACGTAGCGTGATGGAAAAGATTCTACTGGAAAAATGGGTTTACTGTTCCGACTTGATAGTTGAGGGCCTTTGGTCTGTAGAGCCAGTCGTTTGTTTAACATGTAAGAGGTAGAGCTCCAACTTCAATGAAATAAGCTGAATGAAATAATACCACAAAAACAAAAACCCACTTCTAACTCCTTGATGCGCGTGTCGATCGAAATATTGTCACTATCCCCATCAACCGGGATAGGCAGATTTGACATTCGTGGCGCTATGTCCATTGCTTGCAGGTTGTCTGGAATCCGAGATTGGTGTGAGTTGGGAACACATGTAGGAAATACCGTGACCCACCCAAAGAGGTAAAGTTGAATATGAACACGGTTGCAGGCTCGTCGTTCCAAACAGTTTCGTATGTTGTCTGTTCTTCTTGGTCCGGTACTCTTCTTCCCAAACTTAACAAGATAACAATTATAGAAAATGAGGCATCCAACAAAATAATACGTACCCAACTCGATGATCACGACCCTTCTTCGAGCGTTCGTGCACCTTGCCTTCGTGCACATGAAGAGTGTGACCATCGACATTTTTAGATCTCGCCAGCCCAGTCAACTTTGCATTCCTGGTCAATTTTGCTCTCCTAACTGACTCCGAGTCGGACCTTGCTTTCCTGACCGTCTTTACCTTGATGAACTTCCCTCTCTTCAAGCGCAACACAATTCGACCAATACCGCTGGAACGATCATCAAGCATTGAGTCGTCGTCGCTATCTGAAGTGCAGTATTATTAGTTAGAAGTAAGTTCTGGACATAGTTTATGTACTTACCGGTGAAATCGATGTCTTTGAAGATCAACTTGCCAGTATCTGTTCCATTAGAGATACAGTCGAATTCGACTGTACCTGTCCAGCGCGGGGGCGAGACCCATGGGGGACATTTGAGACCATCCACAAAGGCGGATGACCAGATACCTAAGCGCTGTGGCTTTAAGATCTCCCCTCTGATTTCAAATTCCTTGTGGGGGTATTCGTTATTAGTAGTACACAAGTATGATCAATGCCATACCTTGCCCGCTTCTGAGGCAATCCAACACGTCTTTATATTCTCTCCCTCAGGCTGCACTTCGGGCTCGTCTTCTTGATATTCCAGCAGTGGCTGGTTGTCAATGAATACCGAAGCAGATAATTGACCCAAAATCATGAGTGGCTAGTAACAAGACGGTGTAGAATATTGAGTGAGATGTAAGGCTTGTTTTGAGTTCAACAGGGAATTCCGAACAAAATGGGGTAGAAATGAGACGTGTATGGAACGAGGACTAGAGACGAGGACTTTCAGAGGAGCTTTCAATCGTTCTTGGAACGGGGATCTCACTGTAGGATTCACTGTAGGTATGAGTGTGCATGAGCGGTATATATACGTTTTCAAATACTTGACTAGGCTGAAACGAGAATAAAGAGCATATGGCAAGGTGAAAATACTTCGGTGAAGCAAGGGTATCGTGAAGTTTGAGCACAAGGTGAGATAACGAAAAAGAGAGAAAGGAGATGTAAAAAATGGAATGTATCCACGTAATTCGGTTCGAACGTACATATGATCCGTTCGAGCGTCTCCGTTTTTGAAGCGTGGTCGGCGCATCGCGCACGTGTGACCCGGCGCGCATCGACGTGCCAAATGGCTTATCGATCATCGACCATCATCTGGTATATGTTCGATGTCTGCAATGTGCGTGTGCGGCAGCTTGGTTGTGAAGCTTAGTCGCTAAGGTTAGCCACCGTGACGTTTTCCTGACCATATTCTGAGAATATCACAGTCATGACAGATATCACTATGACATGCGCAGCAGTTTCTTCGAGAGTACGCTGCTAACAAGAATTTCGTGAGACATCATCATGTATTAAAAATGTTATACGCACGTGCACGTGATGAATTAGTCTCAATGCGTTAGTAGCGATACAAATTCAAAGCAAAGTGCTTAGTGCACCAGCCGCTGAGATAAAACATCGAATATTGTAGAGATACGTAAAGGCGTTTATGACGAGCAAGAGGGTCACGAGGAGTCTAGAACGACAAAGACAAGATCTCAGTTGTCTCGAACGAAAACTCCTTATAACGGTGCGTCTACCTAGAACGACAAAGACAAGATCTCAGTTGTCTCGAACGAAAACTCCTTATAACGGTGCGTCTACCTAGAACGACAAAGACAAGCTATAACTAACATTAGACGCGTTGTAAACTCTAGGGACTTGTTGGCACGTACATCTCAGTTGTCTCGAACGAAAACTGAGATGCACCTGCGGTACTGCTGGTAATCTTATAGTAAGTTGGTCAGGTACTGGAACATATGAATGAGAGACTGAAAATAAACTAGGACGCGAGCCGACGTCATACGTCGCTCGTCTTCGTCCGTTTTGGTGCGCGCTCGAACCATTCTCCCCTTATCACTCGGATCCTTCGGACTCTCTCGACTCGGATCTCCCCCTGGCCTCGGATCTCTCGGTCTCGTACTCCAACACTCCCCCTCGAGCGCAAGCCACGCTCATCATTGTTCGCAACTTCTGGAGTCGCGGTCTCGGCAGGGCCTTTGTAAAGGCATCGGCGATGTTGTCCTCGGAGGGGCAGTAGAATAGCTTGAATGTGCCGTTCTTGACGTGGGAGCGGACGAAATGGTATCGAAGGTCTATGTGTTTGGTGCGTGATTGGAACTTGCCATTGGACGCTAATGCGATGGCAGCCTGGTTGTCGCAGAACACGGGGATAGGATTGGGGACGGGGTCGTATAGCTCCCCGAGGAGCAACCTAAGGTAAAGTAACTCGCGTATCACACTGGTCAGGGCGATATACTCAGCCTCTGCCGTGGATAGTGCGATCAGTGGTTGCTTCCGGGCACTCCATGCAACGGGACCTCCGTTCAAAAGGACTACGTACCCGGACATAGAGTGCCGGTGGGGTTGTGATGCCCAGTCCGCATCCACGAAGGCTTCAAGACCTCCGTCCGTCGAACCGAGCGTTAGCTCGAAGTCTCCCGTGCCCTTAAGGTAGCGTAGTGCCCTCTTGGTGGCCTCCCAGTGAGGCCTACCAGGATTGCGCATGAATTGCGACAATGTCGCGACAGGGAATGCTATGTCCGGCCTGGTGCTAGTGGCTGCATACATCAGCGAGCCAATGGCTCGCTGATACGGTACATCGCGCATGGCCTGGATCTCCTGCACCGTGGCAGGTCCCTGGTCAACGGACAAGGTGAGTGTAGGTTCCATCGGCGTCTGTGCACTCTTAGCGTCTCCCATGTAGAAGCGCTCGACGATCGTGTCCACATAGGCTTTCTGGGAGAGTGTCAAGGTACGTGCGCCACGGTCTCGCGTTACCTTTAGCCCTAACAGCCAGTTTAGCTCGCCCAGGTCTGTGATTTCGAAGAATTTACGGAGCTGGGACTTGAAGCGGGTGATGTGGGAGGCCCGGTTGGCAGTAACAGCCATGTCGTCCACTGAGACGGTGATGACGACGTGCTCGTCCGGTGCGCGTCTGTAGTAGACTGCCTGGTCCACCTTGGACCGGGCGAAACCTATCTTCGCAAAAACTCCTGCTAACTCCTCAGCCCACTCAAAACCGGCCTGCTTCAAACCAGGTAAGCTCCTTCGCAGCCGCAACACTTTTCCTCGCTGACTCTCCGTGAGGTAGCCGGGTGGCGCGCGCATGTAAATCTCCTCCTGGATACTCGCATAGAGGTACGCACTTTTTATGTCGACTTGGTGGATTTCCCAGTCGTTCTGAGCCGCCATCGTCAATACAGTGCGTATGGTGCTCATGTTGGCTGTGGGCGCGAACGTGTCGAAGTAGTCGACACCGAACTGCTGCTTCTGGCCGTTGGCAACGAGTCGTGCCCGCAGTTTGAGTTTTTCACCGTCGGGTCCACGTTTCGTGGCCAACACGAAATGGCAGGGGATGAGGTTAGCGCCGCGAGGTAAGTCTACTACTTCCCACGTCCCCAACTTCTCAAGCTGACTTATCTCGTAATCAACAGCTTCCTGCCACTCTACTCCATCTGGTCTGTTTAACGCCTGTTGCAAGGTGGGCTCTGGTTGGGCGACTGCCAAGGCAAGGTGAAGGTGAGTTTCTTCATCCAATAAATCTACCTCTGACGCTTCCAACAGGTTCTCCATCGCTATGGCCGCTGCATTGCTGCCTTCGTTCAGGCTAGCATAGTAGCCCGGAGGAGGTCTGGCCCTCGTCGTCCTTGGAGGAGTAGATGGTTGAGGTTGCTGCTCGGTAGATGGTTGAGGTTGCTGAGGAGTAGATGGTTGAGGTTGCTGGGCAGTAGATGGTTGAGGTTGCTGTTGCGTGGTAGTGGTGATGGGCTGGACGCTATGAGGTGAGTTATTATTACCGTTGCCGCTGTTATGTTCGTTAACAGCAGTAGGCTCCCCCTCGTCCAGTGCATCCACCAGGATCTCTGCCGGTGCAAAGGTGAGGTTCCTCTCCACCGATACACGGCGTTTCCCCGGCCAGTACACTCTATAACCCTTGCTTTCAGCGTCTACCCCCACAAAGATTGCCTCCTCTGCCTTCGGCTCCAACTTCCCAGCATCCAGCACGTGGACGAAGACTTTCGCCCCGAACTCATGGGCTCGCGACAAGTCCGGCTTGGACTTGCGTACGAGCTCGTATGGCGTAGTGCCGGGGGTCAACCTTGATGGTAAGCGGTTTTTCAACCAAGTTGCATAGTTGACCGCCTCTGCCCACAGGTACTTAGGGAGATCCCTCCCTATCAGCATGGCCCTAGCATGTTCAACGAGGGTCCGGTTCAGGCGTTCGGCCACGCCATTCTGCTGAGGTGAGTCGTGGACGGTTAACTGACGCTCGATACCCTGCTGACGGAGGTACAGGTCGAACTCGGCGCTGAGATATTCTCCCCCTCTGTCCGAACGGACCTTGCGCAGCTTAACTCCCGGCATCTGACGTGCCAACCAGGCTTCATAGGCCTTAAACGCTGTAAGTGCCTCGCTCTTCAATTTTAGGAACTGAACTTTAGTCTGCCGGCTGTAGTCGTCCGTGAACGTGACGTAGTACAGGCACCCGGCGATGCTTGCCGTTTGGGCAGGGCCCCATAGATCAGTGTGCACGAGCTCACCATAGGTAAGTGCGCGGCTCGTGCTTTCCTCTGGGAAGGGCTTCCTCGTTGACTTAGCTTGCACACAGGCTTCGCAAAATTCGGCTTTCGATGCGTCATCCAGTTCTAGGCCGGTGACTAGGCCCTTCCGGATTGCATCAGCGGCTGCAGTCTGGGACACGTGGCCCAGTACTTTGTGGGTGCTGCTGACGGTAAGCTTCCCTTTTGCGATGTTGGCATGATGCTGACGTTGTTGTCCTCCTGCGACACTATACAGGCCTTCAACCTGGGGGATCTCTGCAATGACCTTCCGGTCTGGCCCTTTCGACAGGAGCTTGCACATCCTGCCCTCGAACAGCACGGCTAGGCCAGCCGCTGCAATACGATTCGTGGAAATTAGCGTAAAGGCCATTTTCGGTGCGTAGAGTGCGTTTTTTAATGTGACCTTTGTGCGTTTCTCACCGAGCGGTAGCTCCAGGTGCACATCTCCACGGCCAATCACACTCAAGCTCGAACCGTCGGCTGTGCGAACGTCTTGGGGAGGGATGCTCACGAAGTTCGTGAACTTCGCCCTATCAGGGCAAAAATGAGAGGTCGCGCCCGAATCTACGATTGCGCCTCGTTTCTCGACAGGTACGTTCAGCTCGCCTGCCACGCTCGCCAAATCCGACGTAACGAAGGCGTACTGGTCGTTGTGGGCTTCTGGCTGTGTGGCCGAGTTAGCAGCCTGCTTGGGTGCTTTCTCGGCCTTCCTTTTCTGCTGGTTAGGGCCTTGCCCTTCCTTACCACCCCCCGGACGCCAGCAGTCCGTTTTATAGTGGCCCTTCCTGTCGCAATTGAAACAGGTGACCTCCGGATTCGTTTTGGGGGTGCCAGCTGATGCTCTGCCCTTCCCCTTAGCTTCTCTAGCAGATAGGGCGGAGCCTGAAGCTCCCTTCTTGTTGGGACGGCGTTCGGTGAGTAGGCGATGCTCGTACTCTTCTGTGATGATGCTGATTAACTCGTAGGAGGTGAGGGGACTCTTAGTTATCCTAGCTGCTGTGCTGATGGATGATAGGAGGGGCCGGTACGACTCCGGGAGCGAGCCTAGAATAATGGCGTGGAAGTCGTTATCGACGATAGCCGCGCCCATTCCTGCCAGCGACTCGCGGAGCCTTATGAGCTCTGCAAAATGGCCCTTGATGTCGCCTCCTTCCTCACAGCGTGTCTCTTGCAACCGACGCCGTAAGTCTATTTGCACGAGTTCAGTCTTACCCTCGTGAATCTGACAAATCTCATTCCAGATCTCGGATGCCTCCCCAAGCTTCTGGACGCGCAGTAACAGCCGATCAGTGATCGTGCTGAATATCTGCTGCTTTACGAGTGAGTTTTTCTGGTGGTACTCGTCGATCTTCTTATCAAGCTCGTCTATTTCAGTCTGCGTCGGCGTCGAACCGTCAGGCTTCTTTACGGCCTTGGTGTTCGGATCGATGACGAAGGGAATAGGTTCGCAGACGCGTCCATCGGTATATCGCATCAAACCTCGGGCTCCAATAGCCGTTAGCGTTCGTTCTTTGTAAGTAATCCAATTTGAGCCGTCTTCTGCGAGCTTCGGGATATTGAACAGGCTGGAGTTTGTACCGGGGAGCGTAGGTTCCATGATGGAGGCAGGGCTCATAACCTAAAGGCGTTTATGACGAGCAAGAGGGTCACGAGGAGTCTAGAACGACAAAGACAAGATCTCAGTTGTCTCGAACGAAAACTCCTTATAACGGTGCGTCTACCTAGAACGACAAAGACAAGATCTCAGTTGTCTCGAACGAAAACTCCTTATAACGGTGCGTCTACCTAGAACGACAAAGACAAGCTATAACTAACATTAGACGCGTTGTAAACTCTAGGGACTTGTTGGCACGTACATCTCAGTTGTCTCGAACGAAAACTGAGATGCACCTGCGGTACTGCTGGTAATCTTATAGTAAGTTGGTCAGGTACTGGAACATATGAATGAGAGACTGAAAATAAACTAGGACGCGAGCCGACGTCATACGTCGCTCGTCTTCGTCCGTTTTGGCGCGCGCTCGAACCATTCTCCCCTTATCACTCGGATCCTTCGGACTCTCTCGACTCGGATCTCCCCCTGGCCTCGGATCTCTCGGTCTCGTACTCCAACAATACGCACTTACCTTCGACGTGGTCCAGGTGTTGTCCAAACCTTAAGCTTCGAAGACAGGTGTGACCTGTGACACCTCAGAACTATGCTTATGTACACTGATACTAGTGGTCGCTGTCAGGCTTCAGCTTCAGCACTCGATCGATGTAAAGCATCCTTGCGTTTCTACACCTGCAATCAGGCCATCGTCGACGACTTCAAACAGATTGCGGTGTGTCCATTTGTCCTAGCGTTCGGTGGCTTTGACCCTTATGGTCCGTCCAGCCCTGTACCGAACAAACAAACATACTTCGTTCCAGTAATGACACAACAAGAAAAGTCTTGCCTGGATCCTTCAAATATACATCGAAACTCTATATGTTGAATAAATATCACGATGGATCCTCGATCAAATTTCTCCTCCCTGCAGACCACTTGGCAAGCATTTCCCTATACAGTACTGCTAGTTGATACATGTACATGCTCCTGGAGAACAATCGAATTCATGCTAGTTTCTACGTCAGAGTATGCCACGAGTTTGGCGTGGTATTCTCGAACGCTCAGGATGAGGCATGGTCCTAGCACAAACATCTGCACGACCGATAAAATTTGAAGAGCACCTGCGAGTATCTGAACTCCAATAGAATTTGAATTCTATAGAACTGATGGGCAGTGTTTACACGCAGATGTCATCCACAGATCAGCGCACCGAGATTTCTGGAGAGAGATCGCCAAGCTGGAGGCAAGAGACACCAACAAAGCTAACATGTGCGGAACTTGAGCAGAAAAATATGACCGCATTCACATTACAAGCTCACCTTGCACAATAAAGAACGTGAGATTGTACCAGCACTCTGAAACAATCCCCGATGGTCGATCCTGTCGATGGGCCAAGTCGTCGCAGCTCACGGAAGTGGTTCACAGCAATCCAGACTGAAAGACACAGTGCGAGGACCTCCCAAACAATGTTGAGCATCCAAAGCATCGAAAATAGAAGCTGCTCGTCCTGATCAAGTCCATAATCGCACATATAGTATATGTCAAAGAGTATCAACTCCTCTGATGTTTGTCCAATGAGCCGTGTTTCTCAAGTCAACAAGTAAAGCTTACCTGCTGTAGTATCGTCGAGTCCTATTGCCGCGATCACTCCGCAGGCGATGTTTACAGCCAGGAAGATAATAACAAGGAACATAAGTATCTTTCTGGATCCCTGATACATGGCATGCAACCGAGCAATCATGATGACTTGCATCGTGTGTCAGTCAGGTCCATATCACAGAGGTATTGCACCTGCGTGACTTACCGCCCAACATGACAGTCAAGGCCACAGTTGTACCATTTATTACGTAGTACGTGATATTGCCTAAAACTCCCAATTAGTGAACGCCCTTGCACTACATAGTATCAAAGACTCCGACTTACACCTATTGAGTCAGTATGTTGAGGCAAGTTCAATGGTTGGAATCTCACTCGCCCCTACATATGAGCGTCTTGATTGGATGAGAATGAGATGGTTGCAGAACACTTACTGCATCTGTCAGCGATACCGATGGCATACCACCTCCTGTGTCCCGCCGGTCAGAGAATAAAACACAGCTCATATGAGACATACGCAGAGCACTGGTACTAGTTGTCAGAGATGAGCTATTAGCACAGTGCAAAGTCGTTGATCTCGACACATACACAGAATACGGTATTCCAATATAGCGTATCTATAACATTTTGAATTCAGCACAAGTTGCCCACCACGCTAGAGCACAACATGAGGTACGAACAATCAAATACAGCACAGTCATGAGAGACCAGCGTTGTCTCTGTCGCGAATTCGTTGCATGCTCTTGTTTTCTTCTGATGCGGGACTCTTGTCACTCACCCAGATAAGTTCAATCTATGACTCCATTCTTAGCGAGTTGGCTGCTCCGGCGATAACACACGTACCTCTTGTCCGAGTGTTAAGACTGGAAATACCATGAGAATATCAGCAATTCTCGAACACTGTCCTGCTCACCCCAGCCGTATACCACCACGATGCCAGCAGCAACTGCAAAACCGCAAGTCAACGTTGGATCCGGACATCTTGATGCGACAAACCTATACAATAGCTTACAAATATATGCACACTGATATACGGTCAGTGAACGGGATCATTTGAGATGTAGGTCATGTTCGAAAGATGGGTGAGCGAGTGAGGAAGGTTAGTGGTGTATAACGATAGCGTTCGTGCAAGATATGCCACCGTTCAGCGCTGCCCTCGTATCATCAAAATCAGCATGATGGAGATGACCCTTGATCGGGTGTGATATGCGTGAAACAAGTATTTACACACTCTTCGGCATCGCTGGCTGAGCCCGAGGTGTAACAGCCCTACGAGTACTCTTATGAAACAAGTGTCATTCTGCGGAACTCAGACAAGAAACCGCGACAGAGTGGGTCAAATATATCTCACCTCATCCGTAGCCTGGTACGCTCGAATCATTGGGCTATCATGGTTTTATCAAAACGATGAACAAAGAGATGGTATGAAGCATGGAGCGAATTCGATCGAAAGCGCACTTGATGTCATGGTGATGCAGATGTATTATACTGCCAGATACATCCTGATTCATGATTGATAGATGTTGAATACCATCAGGGGAAATTGCACACGGGAGACAATAAAGCTGCAACACGCCAGAAGGCTGATTTCTGATTGTACAAGTTCATATCGATGGCATCGTGTTTCAGTAAACATCTATCCTGTAAGAGTGAGAGTAGGTCCACCCTGTGTTGGCACTGATCAGCGCCATCGAGTGTTAAATACATGAAAGTTATGATAGTTACCCGTGGCAACACCACATTACGGCGACAAATTAAGGCTTTCGAATAACTATCGATGGAGAAACGGAAACGAGGGTCGAAAATGGCTTGTCGAAGGTGCTTTGACGGTTGTGGGATGTGTTGTTGTTATAAGTATAAAATAGTTGCGGTGCTTTCCAATTTTGCAAACAAACAGTTTGTTACAGCGAATCGCGAATGAGATGCACCGAATAGACCGTCGGGGGTGGGGAAATAGAGTAGTGATAGGATAGTAGGTGACTGTGTGTCCTGGCATAGCCAATTTCGCTGTGGTTGCAGGGGCAACTGACTGTTTTGAGGTGGGAGGCTGAAGACACACACAAAAAAAAATGGATCAATAAAAAAAGAGTTTGCATTCGCGCGTCAGACACGAAAGATGCGGGACCCATGTGTTCGCAACTAACGTTGAAACGTTGAAGCTTTGGGTAGTGCTACCTTCGGTCAAGAGGTGTGCGCTCGCAAAATCCCGAACACAGAGCTCAACATTAGTAAGCAAAAACCTTAATACATAGCCACATGAAGTTACAACTTACGAGCGACACGTTTTGAGTTCCTCGCCAGCGGCCTCAATTCATCGTAAAATCGTTAGGCGAGTACTGTAAAGGGGTGTTTTTACTACTGTAGAATAGGTTTAGATAGTTATTTTAATGAAACACAAATATGTAGAGATGTTACCCGCTAAATGTCAGATCTTGAGTATGAATTTTGGAAGCACATGAGCAAATTGTTAGTTTGCTGATGCGCGGAACCTGTTGCCAAGGACTTATTCAAGACTTCGAGACTGTATACCTCTACTCATATGTACAACCAATTTACACTTCAATATTGTATTTTCCAATCTGTGGCATCGGAGCCAGAGATGATGTCCACTGATGATAGATATTTGTGGGTCAGAATGAAGTTGTCCAACGCTGAACTGGCGTAACACCTCGTGTGGCAAGACACAATTTCAATGATGAACGTGATAATCAAATGTTTGAATTGCGTGAGGGCGTTGAGTGCACTTCCACTTCCTGTAAAGAGCTTGGCCCTAAGTAGTCGTTCGTTCTGCTTTCAGAATATAAACTGAGAGCGTTGTAACGCCGTGTACAAAGCAGGATCGAAACGTTGAGTCATGTGTTCCTAATTTTTCGTGCTGAGAACGAGTGCTGACGCGGACAAGGCCACAAGGCTACTATGTAAGATTGAGTAATAGACTTGATGGTCACCCAAGATTAACTCATGCACATTGCAGATCTATATCCGATCGAAAGGTCACCAATTACTACTAAGCCATGATTTCTCCTCCTGTCTTGTCCTCCTAATCCTCAGCCGCAACCTGCTGCACTACAAACGACATAGGGTCATTGCCTGGTGAAGCTGAGACCTGAATATAAAACTTCATGGTGTTGCCTTTCTCGTCCTTCCCTATGTAGAAGTTCTTGGACCGAATATGCCCTCCTTCTCTGTGTGCCGCCTCGTAGCCAGCCTCGGGGTTAGCAGATTCCACAACTCCAGCTTTGATCGACCCCAAGAGCGGGTTCGTCCAGCCCTGTACCGAATAAACAACCAATAAATTATTATGTTCAGACTTCACGGAAAAGCTTAGTACCCACCACTGCGAAGTCGAATGATTGCTTCGAGTCAAGCCACAGACTGAACGCTGTGCCCCCTGACACGCCTGCCACGGCATTATCGCCATTGCAGCAAGAGAACGACATCGAAGAGAATGGACCGTTTCCCTCCGGTGCTTTCCAGTAGCGGCCCGAGGAAAAATAGCTGTTCACAACTGTGTAGTTGAATTGAGTCGCATTCTTGAAGGAACAGTTGATCCAGCGGGACTTCTCCTTGAGATCATTGTTTGCTTCGGGGACGCTTTCTTGTACAGTCTATGAGTTGTGACGAGGACATTATTTGATCATGTTTGGGTTGAAGACTGAAAAAGCGTATACATACGTTTGTAGTCTTTTCAGACACGGTCAGCGGTGCCACGATTGTGTTCGAGATTTGGACAATGGTATTGGACATGATAGATCGATAGAAAGTAAGAACGTGTAATGCTGGTGAAGGGCTGATGTTGCTTTCAAAGTGTACATTGCCCTTCGCCTTTTATACACGACTGAAATGGTATACCCGGAGCGTCCGATGGATCTTGCGGAAGCCGTGGACGTACAGATACTGACAACTTGAAGAACGGCTTGTGTCCCTCAGCTCAAGCCCACTCACGAAATTCAGGGCTCAGGAACCTCTCCCGTCGAAGATGTGGCTGAGGGGAATAACTGCATGAGAACTCACACGAGAACTGAGCAAGACTCACAGTGAACTGTATTCACGGTGGGAATCATGCACCGCCCCATGCATATCATAATATTACAATCAAGCTCGAAGTCAATTAACCTCGAAACTTTAGCAATGCAGATGCATTTTGCTATCCTTGGATGTCTTCACAACACCACCACTGGCCCTAAATTGCTATCACTGCAGATTGCGGTATGTCTGTTTGTCCTAGTGTTCCTCACGTCAGCTGACATACAGTCATGTGTTAACGGACCAAACTTATCACGGTACTTACGATGCACCGGTCCCTATTCCCATGTTTTCTCCTATCATGGAGCCTAGGCCTGACATGTTGATATCGCGAAGCTCCAAAGCAACATCACGGGCAGCCTCGTGAACAAAAGTCTACATTGCTGGAGAATATGATTGAACCGGAAATGTTTCGCTGCCGGAATTCTTCCGTTCAGCCCTGTCGTAAGCGGGGGCCTGTTCTAGAGCTTGTTCATGCATGACGCGTGACGTACTAGGCTAACTGTTGACTCCTGACATGTCTTGATCGTTGCTTCAGCCTGGCGAGATGCAACCCGACAAATACCGTCCAGAATAATACACAGATCTCGGTGATCAGGTTAACCTGAGTAGAGGTAGAATTATAATCCCTGGACGTAATATTTGTAGAAAGATTTCATTGCTTAGAAGACTTTTAAAAACATAAGCACACTGTGGGCCTTATGAGCGGCCGCAGGTGAGGCAGGTTTGGATCTTGCCGCTGCCACTCTTTGAAAGGCCGTCAAGGACACAATTATACTATATATGAAAAATCAGTCTGTCGCGATATCAACATCATAGAATGAATACCTCAGCGGCAATCGGGCCCAAGGGTACTTGTTTTCTGAATGTTTCTCACCGACTCGATAAGAGCTGCTGTAGAAGATTACGGCAACAGCCTCGCGAAGTGCTAGGTCGGCAAAATTTTGCGTTTGCTCCATTTTATTCTCATGCGAACATAAATTATGAGGGAACGCGTACCTTTGAATCGAATCCATCAGGCGGGAACTCCGGATGTTCGAGCAGCTCTGTAGCAGCACTCTCGACCCATGCTGTGCGTTCTTGAAAAGGAGTATGTGATAGAGAGACGAAGGTGTATATGGCAGGCGCAAGAGCAACGGCGGTCTTCTCCAGATCAAAGTGCCACGTGAAGGTGACCATGTGGCCATCGATCTAACACAGGTATAAGCATGATGTGATCGCAATGAGCATCCTGTGTTTTTTTAGCTCTGTTGGACGTTGCTTTCTGTAACAAGGTCGCATTCTGTAGTATGGCAAAAGTCAGAGAAAAAACACAACAGCGCACTCTATTCGGTGGATCCGATCGTACACTTGATACGACGGTGATGCATTGCACTGGTGAATACATCGTGACCGTTCATGCTGTGTCATTAACACCTGTCAAACACAAGACATTATACATACTAGGTCAAACCAGAACTCGCACATGGGAGATGAGAAGCCTGTAACGAATAAAAAAGTCCGATTTCTAATTATACAGCCTCGGTCAGTGGCCATTGTATTTCAGTGATGTTTTGCAGTGCCGACTTGAGCAGGGGCCGGTAAAGGTTGCGAGCTAAAGGCGAGATCCATCAGATAAAACAAGAACGCCATTGTCACTTCATCATACTCAACAAATTCAGAAGCAGGCTACGAAAGTCACATCGTAGTCGGATGCTTGCACATGCGTAGCCATCGTACGGACACATGGTTGCTTTAGAATCCTTATTCCACCTTCACGGGGTGCCGAAGATACAAATCCAAAACAGTCGCATATCGCAACATGCAGATAGCACTACATCTTCACGCGATGAAGCGCACGGTAATCAACCTATCCTCTATCTTTGCATGGAAATACTCAGCCTGGATGATGCAACCACCATGATCTAGAAGACTTGCCATACAAATGTTCCTGTACTGTATATCCGCCCTTTTGTCGTTCTCCGAGCACTTCAAATGCCCAGATATTGTTAAGTGTTTCCCATGGGTTTTGATGTTGATATTCTGTCGTTCGAGAAGCTCAACTGTTGCAATCGCAGTCTTGGCTCCGGAATTCCAGTGTAGGTCCATCGCAGATCAACGACATCGAGTGTTGGATACATGGATCTATGATATACTTACCTGTGGCAACACCAAAGCACGACGATGAATCAAGGTTCACAATGAATGAATAATACCGTCAAGTGTTTGCATTCGCGCACCAAACATAATACACAAGAGGCGGGGTCTCTATGTGTTCGCAGCCAGCGTTGAACGTTGAAGCTTGTCTAAATTTTAATCAAAGCCCACGGCGCTACCTTTCGGCGTTTGCGGGGTCAAAAAATGGAAGAATTGTGCTTACATAAGTAGAGTAATTATAATACTCCAAGTTTCTGCAAGCAATGCCGTTCCAGAATTCACACACTCTCTTGTTGCCTCACTCGCATCGGTCATGGAAGACGAGAGTCGACCTGCACGTGAAGCTCGACGGACAGGCACTATGCCGTCGAAGCTAGAAGGAATGACTATCATATTTGGTCTGCCTACATTCCATCGAGAAAGGTCACTAATTACTCAGCCATTATTTCTCCCCCTGTACTGTCCTCGTCGTTTTTCTCATCACCAACCGGAACCTGCTGCACTACAAACGACATAGGGTCCTTTCCCGGTGAAGCTGAGATCCGAATATAGAACTCCGTAGGGACGCCTTTCTCGTCCTTTCCCTTGTAGTGGTTCTTGGACTGAATATGCCCTCCTTCTCTGGTTGCCGCATTGTAGCCATCCTTGGCAATAGCGGATTCTACGACTCCAGCTTTCATTGACCCTAAGATCGGGTCCGTCCAGCCCTGTACCGAACAAACAAACAATAAATCCTTTTGTTCAGACTTCAAGGAATGCTTGGTACACACCACTGCGAAGTCGAATGAATGTTTAGAGTCAAGCCACAGGGTGAACGCTGTGCCCCCTGTCACGCCTGTGACGGCACCATCACCATTGCAGCAAGAGAATGTTGTTGAAGTGAACGGTCCATCGCCTCCCGGTGCTTTCCAGTAGCGGCCTGAGTCAAAATAGCTGTCTACAACTGAGTAGTGGAATTGGGTCGCATTCTTGAGGGAACAGTTGATCCAGTGGAACTTTTCCTTGAGATCATCGCTTGCCCCAGGGACAACTTCCTGTATAGTCTACGAGTTGTGACGAGGACATCATTTGATCATGCTCAGGGTTGAAGACTGAGAAAGCATATACATACGTCTATAACCTTTTTAGACAGGGTCGCCGCGTCTATGATTATGGTCAAGATTTCGATAATGCCATTGGGTGGATTGGGCGAATCAGACATGATAGATGGATAGAAAGTAGGGATGTGTAATGCTTTCAAATTGAGAGTTACCCTCTGCCTTTAATACATAACTGAGATGGCATACCCGCCAACTCTAGGTCTCGATTGGTTTCCAGAATGGGGTAACACTCAAGTACGTTTCCGGGGACCGGGGCATTCTGCTGACCGAATGAGGTAACACTCAGCTAAAAAGCCGAGTTGGTTGAAGCTCGTTCTGAAGTGCTTGACTATTTGCGTTCGTAAATGCATACTTTTAGTTATATTGGACCCTGAGCCGGTAATATCAGGCAAAAATGGCGGTCTTCAAGATCATCAAAGACAATCTCCCGTTGAAGATGTGGCTCAGGGTAATACGCGCATGAGAACTGAGTGAAACTCGCAGCAAACTGCATTCGCGCTCAGAACCATGCACGGCCCCCTCCATTGTAAACTGAGAGTCAAATTCGATATCAGCTGGTGAATCTTCAAACAGACGACGAGGAGGCAAACACGATGTAATCCCCAGCATGATTGTCGAATGGGAAAATTTTCAACAGTGTACCTGATAGAACATGAAACATGTACTAGTAGTACCTGAAGGCCTGAACGACGGTAGGTATTGTATGCGTCATCGACAATGCACGACGCCGCCCTGGTTGAAATAGTCAGTTGTGGATTCTTTGAAAGATACAGGTCCCTACCATCCAACCTGAGCCTATGATTTGAATTGTTCGACGGGCTGGGGTCCATGATGGGGATTTCCATAATCCACTTGGGCAACTCTAGTAGGCAGGCATAGATAGAGCCGTACTCCCTAGCGATAAATTTTGGGTACCACTTGCCGTTGCCATTCTTTGAAAGGCCGTCAGAGACGCAATTAAATCAGTTTATCGGGATGTTAACCGTCATAAAATGAATACTGCGACAGCAATCAAGGCCAAGCACAGCAAGGGTACTTGTTTTCTAGATGTTTCCGAAAGACTCGATAAGGGCCGGTGTAAAAGAACATAACAACAGCCTCGCGATGTGCCGGGTTTGGCAGATTTTTGCGTTTTCCCCTATAATACCACTTCACTCTCATCATGAATTATGAGGGAACACGTACATTTGAATTGAATCCATCACGCAGGAACTCTGCTGCCCTGCAGCAGCACTTTCAACCCATGCTGTGCATTCTTGAAAATGTATTATTTGATTGAGGGACGAGGTTGTATATAGAGCAACGGTGGTCTTCTCCAGATCAAAGCGCCTCGTGGTAAGATCATTATGCAACCAATGTGACGGACATTGCCATGATGAATCTGGGGATGCGCAATACAAGCCTTATCATACCAGCCTGGTGTGCTGCCTTATATGTGGAACGCTGTGAGATACGTGCTTCGAGAACATGAAAAACATACCGGCTTGATCCCAAGAGATCTGGACAGCTAACGGCTGGACCTTAGTGAAAAAGTCTGTTGAATAACTCTTGCAACAGGCCTTTTGACTAACACCAGTGAGATTTGGGAAAGTCTTATTGATCGCGTGCTGTACGCGACAATTCTGTTTTGCTTCCCTTGGTCAACTTGTGACGGTAGCAAACAGGAATGTTAATGATTATGTAATGGAGTGCAGCCTGCTTTCGCATGCCACGCGATCCTTCTGCGACTAAGAAAACGAGGTAGGTTTGAAATTTGAGTCATAAAGTATACTTACTAGTTAGTCTACGCTCAAATCAGTCGATGCAGGGTCAGTACAGTCTGAATGTCTTCGTCGATCCCACTAGTATTTCATGTGTGGCTCCCCATAGGAGTTCAATTCATTTGGGAAAGCGGTAAACAGAATTACTCGCACCGGATGTGTTCCGAATTTTTCATGCTGACGCGGAGTCGCGGACAAGGCCACGAGGCGAGTGGGGTGGCACAAATTCCAGAACAGACATAATGGTCACCCGAGATCGGCTCTGCTTGACTAGTACCATATACACCTTCCACCAATCTCGAGGTCGTGCATAACCAGACCATGGTAGACAACTTCAAACATCAACCAATTCACCGTAACCGGTCTCACATATGCCGGGGATCGCTTTATAAGACCGGAAACGAGCTCGGTGACCTATTTTTGGAGACAATGTGGGTTCCGAATGAGGTATATCCGTTTGTCCTATAGTGGCTTTGACCTTTACGACGTACGTCGTTGGACATGAACTTGTGATTGATGGTGATGGTACAATTCAACCTACCGGTCTCTATCTCCACATTTTCTCCGATCAGACATCGCGAAGCTCCAAAGCTCCATCACCGGCAGCCTCGTGAACATCGCTGGGGAATATAATTGGACCGGCTATATCGCTTCCGGAGTTCTTCAGTTCAATCGTGATGGAAGCTCGTTCTTGTCGTAAGCGGGGACCTGTTCTGGATGACGTACTAAAATACTACTAGGTTAGCACCTGTGGCTGTCGATATGTGTTGATCCGTTCCCATTCAGGCTCCCAATTGCGCAATTGACTTAACTCGGGTAGTGTATATGAGCATCGGAGAATAATTGTACACAAAAAGGATCGAGACCCCCAAGCTGCGAGGAATATTGTTAACGATAGCATCGCATGAAAGTATGTCAACACCAACGACCGGTATGAGAAAACCAATGTGTATGCAGTGAATGACGCATCTATCTGCAATGTAGGAGAGCGCTTTGTGAGTATTATGACCAACTAGTCCAAAATAGAGTAGAGAAATCCCGTGGAATAACGACAGAAAGGTAATGTGAGTGGTATGTACGAGGATCGCAGTAATGATATACGTTAGTCGCGTCATCGTGTGCGGGGAATATGAGGGTGGGATGCAATGAGGTTCACTACTCGAGAAAGCGATTCTACCATAATGTGACGCATTTACAGTGGTCGAGCCGGTATATGAAAATGTCTGTGCTGCAAGTATCCATGCATCATGATCTCATAGCATTCATGACTATTGATGCCTGTCTCCATTCTGCCCACCGAATGCTGCTTATGGGGCATAAGCACTTTGCGTCTGTCCTGATGGCTGCTGATACAATAACTGATGGCTTGAGCACGGCGTCGACGGATTAGACGGTTCAGAATAGGCCTTTTCTTGCACTACGTTGACGCCGACACCTCCACCGTCCGTGGCAGCTGTTGCTTTCGTCGGGTCGCCAATGCCTGCACGAGTTCCCCATCCAGTCTCATGGAGCGTGAAGAGCGCATAAAGCTTCATGATCGCGAAATAGTACCCGAAGAGGATGAACGCAGGGACATAAATGATGTGACTGGGCGTGTGCCAGAGATGCGGGAGGAGCTTGGCGGTACGAGTTGCGAGAAGCCAGACCATGTATGAGAGGATAATGTTCCACCAAGGTAGATGGTATCCTCCATCTATAACGGCAAAGGTACTTTTCCAAACAAGATAACCGACGAGGCAGGGCCCTACTAGGAGCGTAAAGGGGTTAAAGAGCTTGTCGACCTGGAACGAGATAAAAATAAATATGGCTGACAGGATGATGTCACCGACGTCAACTCACCATAGTATAAGCGACATATGGATGTGTAGTCCAAATATACCGTTCCATGAATAATGACCTCAAATCACTTCTCCACGTATTTCGGGTCCATCGTAACACTTGTTTCAAGAATCTCCAGTTCGGCTTCATCGTACTCAACAACTCTGCCTCTTTGCAACACTGAACATAGGTACTCCATCCATGGCTCACCATCCACCTCGTCAAGAATTTGTCATCGCCCGAGTTGAGCTGGTACTTGCCCAACCAGTAGTCGTGCGTGAAACCGTGCAGGAACTCTGGGTCTTTGAGGATGACCGTTCGGTAGGCAGCTGTACGGCCCGAAAGACATGGAAGACCACCATCGATATGTGTGCTGGAGCTAATTTCGATGTTACGGATCGTCAGACGGAATGCCGCGAGGACCTCCCAAACTGTCATGCGTTTGCCCACTGGTTGGACACGTTGACTCGTGCCCACGCCTCCAACCTTCTGGTCTTCGAAACATGCGAGCACATATGGCAAAAGCGTTGGTGGCCAAATAGCATCGTCGTCTGCAAAGACAATGATGTCTGTCGTGGTATTCCTGATACCGTGTGCCATCTGCAACCGCTTGTTCGCGAAAGGAACGGTGAGGACGCGAATACGCTCCGGGTCAACGGCGTTGGCAAGTTCTTGGAGAGGAATGAGCATTTTCTCTTCGGTGATGATGATGATCTCTTTCGGTTTGCCAGCAAGCCAACTGTTGGCTGCTTCCTTGAATTCTTCACCAGCGTCGATGGTGGGTACGATGATAGTGACATCTTCTGAAGCCACATAAGTGGGATTTTCGGGGAGAGGAACAGGACGGTAGGTGACGGAGGCAATGATACGAATCAAGTACCACAGGTAGCGGTAGAACCTAGAAAATCGTCAGCTCGTATCAAGAAATCGAAAAAAAGACAACATACCCGATGACTCCGAATGGTACGACTGTAAATGAGGTTTAGCACGAACGGTCAAAGTACTGTAAACCGAAGACACGTACAGATTGGAAAGTCATCGGACGTCAAGTAGAGCATTGTGGCAGTCTACTACGCCTGCTGTCAGGAGAGTAGTGAGGCCAAATGAGCGGCAGGGTCGTAGCTAAGACGACGAAGGATGGAGGCCTTCGGAGAGAAAGAAAGAGAAGGGAAGAAAGAACAAGTAACGTTGGTGGATTATTACATAGGTCACCAAAGCATGTATGCTAGAAGTATTGTCGGGGTTCGAATTTCAAAATATCATCAAAATAAGCTTTGTTTGGGAATAAAAGCAATACTTGCTAAATGCCATGCTATATTACGATATATGTTAATATTTTCTCACCGGTCATTCCCCGAGTGTTCGACAACTCGACGGGCTACTTAAAGCCTACTGGCTTTCTCATTAAATGACATGTGACGTGGAAAATAACATATCCGAGTCCTCATAGCAAGTGTCTGGACTCTGGTTCTATAGCTCATTGACAAAAGCTAGCCCAGGTGACTCGTAGATCGCTGGCGTTGTGCCAAGGCCTCGCCTTATTCGCCTCAATAGCAATTCTGCCACGGTCATGCATCGTAACCATCATGGCGTCTGATCGCACCGTAGCATTTAACCATCAGTCCAGATCTCATTTCTAAAAACTCTGCCGCCGCACTGGAAACCCCGCCGACACCCTACCAATCACTGCTATCAAATCCGGTACGTTCCGTTTTGTATGGCCTTGACACTGATCCGACACCCCTCTATGCTGTACAAGGAAGCAAGAAGTCCACGTCCATGACATTGACAGACAGCTACCCTTGATCTTGCTCGCAGAAAACACCACGGTCTCCGCGTTAGCGTTACAGTAAGACGCCCATGACATTGACAGATAATCATGATCCCGCTTGCAGAGCACTCCACGGGTCAGACGCGTCTATAGAAACCTATTTATGGAAGTCGCGCCCCTACGCGAACACTCGAGCTGCACAGCCTTGCCGCCTGTCTATGAAGCACATAATGTTGAACGCATGTGAGGCTATTCTTCGAGGAGCGCTCGCCCAGTGTCGCACGTTCAGTTCAAGCCAGCCCAGGTTCTCTGTACCACCGGCAATCCCTCTATTTCTCCGTGCAGCCGAGACGACGGAGGAGACCGCGGAATCAAAATGATCTAACAGTTCGGCTTCCGCAGAAAATGTTGTAGTTTACCTATTATAGAAGTAACGAACTGTCAGAGACGTGACATGTGTAATAATTTTCACTAGTTCACCACTAGTAGCTTTCCTACTCGTTTGAGTCAGGGAAGCGCCTACGAAGCAAACCGCGCGAGGGCCTCGACTCGTTCTCTCCACCTCGGCCCTCTTGATGTTTCAGTCGAGAGTTCGATTCACCGTCGTACTCTAAAACTATATATCAATCATGAACACTGCAAATGAATTCTGGGCCCTCTACAATGTGCCAGAGGTTAAAGTGTTCAAACCTTAAAAAACCTGACGGCATGCGTCCAGTATCAGATAACAATTACGAGGCTATTGCTTCTTCAGTGGGAAAAGGGCACTCACCCATGGGGTTACCGATATTTACGAGTGCTTTGAATGTTGTACAAAATGCAAAGATAATACCTTATATTTATTAGGCGGTCAAAATTTTCATGTATTCGCAAACATTTTCACCGAAGCACCCAGGGATGCTGACGAAGCTTGTTAAACCGGAACCTTTGAATAGACGTATTGAAGATCAAGTGGCTGAAATCTGCGATTCGACTTTCTCAGTACAACTGTACACTACCCAACAGCTACATGTCGAGAAAACTTGTAACGATAAGCGAAAAAAACCGTGCGTTAAAATACGAAAAATTTAAACATACGAAGTCAAAACATGCGGGCAACTCGACCACACTATAGTACTACCCGTCAAAGGGTACAGTGATACATAGAATAAAGTAGCAGTATAAGGGAAAACTGAAAGATGTAGAGTACAACACGGGGTACGATGAATTTGACGTGATACCATGCAGAAGTCGAATAGAGAATCGAGTGCGACTGACGAGAATTCATCAGAGAGTGTAGACGATCAAAATACAATGACGACCAGTAAGGACAGTGGCGACCGCGTGGCTGGTAAACGCGCAGGGTTGGATGAGTGTCGAGTCAACACAAAAGGAGTTAAGAATCGTAAGGGACGACGAGAAGCCGTCAAGGGAGTAATGGATGCAAACGGCCAGGTCTTAGTTAGGTAGATGGGGCGGAGGAAGCCGAGAACCCTGTAGCGGATGATTTTCTCGCATCCGAACTTTTCCTCCCACCTGCACGCACGGAGGCTGAAGTGCTAGTAGAAGCCCGTGATCTCTTTTCGCTCCAAACAGTGCCTGTCGATGCCGACAGAGCCGTTGTGCTAGTACTCCACCTTGATCCCAGCCTCTCGACCTGCACAGTAGGTTCAGGAAAAGGTAACACGTGGTTCGTTGCTGCTGCCCTCGTTGAGCTGCTGTATTCTGCTTCCGCTTCAGTACCCGCCGTCAGAGACTGCAGAAGAAGTTGTGCCATTAGAACCTCATCTCCAAGGCCACGTTCTCCCTCATTGATGTGAACCGGAGGGGGACGAGAAGGGAGTAGAGCTTGTGCTGAGGCTTGGTGTTCCAGCGCTCTCACCCTCAATCCCATTCGTCTCTTGCATCTTCCTTTAGCCTTCTTAGCTTTGGGCGCGGGAAACCGATATTGGGCAGCTACGTCACGAAATTGCACATGATTCAAATCAGCAATTCCAAGGCCGATGGTGGGAGGAGGCGGGGGAGGTGGGGAAGCAAAAGGATCCCTCATGGAGAGAAAATCGGAGGCCGAGTCCGAAGACATGCCCCGCGAAAGGGAGTGCTTTGCGATGCGATGGTTGGGAAATTCCATAGCTTTCGGTACCGAGGAATCCGCTGTATGATTGACAGAAGTTGGCAGGGTCGGCAGGGTCGACTTAACGATAGACGGAAGTACTGAAAACAAATAATAAGTTAAATGTCTTGGACTGGCTGTCGTTCGAAAGTGCAATATATGCTTACAATAAAGGGTAGTGACCACACCCATCGCCCAGAACAGTGAACAGACGGAGTGAGCGATAACAAGTCCAGCGGCAACTGTTACGTCAGAATTTTGCGATGGTTGCGATGTTGTCACTGAATCGGGGGCTTGCAAAGCGGCCCAGGATGGAGAATTCTGTGCAACGATTGCTAAAGCAATTTTCAAGGCTGCACATACTATAGCAGCTGCCTGCGCCGCTAACATGGTAACGGGAAGACGCATCTCCTTGTAAAGCCAGCTTATTGCCGCCTTTCCCTCAGGTATCACACTGTTTTCTTGCCCTGAGTGAGTGAGGGTGAGTGATGGTGGTAAATTTACGACAGTTTTTGCACTTTTGGCCGATGAGCGGTCGCATGTCGGCTGAGTATGCACCAATGAGGCTGGAAAAGGCCAAGTGTCAGGAGTGGGTGAGCTGACCCGTCTAGATTTATTCTGAGCGATGGTCGGACGAGCTGAGCTCTCGGGACCTGCTGGGACTTTCTCGGATATCTTGGTGAATGGAGCTGCAACGGCGATAGCAGAGCGTATATCAAGGAAGATGCCAATAGCGAGGGGGAGTTGAAGACTTCGTGAGATAAGAGAGAATGTGGGTGAAAGCAAAGTGGGAGTGCTTGCAATTGAGCCAGCGATTGTCGCTATGATGGCATTCAAAACTTGACGAAGAGATGAGTAGAAATTACTCACCGCATATAAGAAATGTTGTCACCAAGACCGCTAGGAAGCGAAAGGCGCGGTGGGGAACCAGAGAATCTGGAGTGGTGGCCACGAACAATACGTACAGCGAACTCAAAGATACTTTAGAATATATTAGCGCATCGAACGGGTTTAGATTATCGACTCAATACTTACAGAGACATGCATGCAAGGCCAAAAAGACATTCCAAAGGCGCTGAAGGAGATGGACATGGTTGAACGACGCTCCGAGGCCAAGTCCGCTAGCGATGGCTGGTAGGACAGTATTGAGCGCCAAGAGAATATTTAGGACAAGTTTGTTTCGGCTAAAAGGAGATGAATGAGCTAGAAAGATGGCGGATACTAACGACAGAATGAGCAAAAGAGCGGGCGGGATGACGTGCAAGGACAGAGAGAACGGCGTGGATATGATACTTGAGCTAGAAGACAGGAAAACGGGAGACATGGTAAGAAAGTAACAAAAGAATGTAGATAATGAGCGTTCGCAAAGATAAAAAAGTAGGTAGTTGGTGGAAAAAGACGATCAAGCGAGACAAGTATTGGAAGAAGAAGAAGAAAATATAAGATTTAATTTGCTAGCGAAATGAACAGGGGAAGAGCCGACGAATTAGGAAAGAGTCTTTGTTGGTATATAAATATTCTACTTTTAGCTATTTAACCCGCGGATGGGAGGTAACATACAGTCCCGGGCCAGTCCCTGCATGTTTCGATTCTTGTCACAGTAATCGGCCATCGAAGTTCCCCGACCTCGAGAATGGTGTGGTACATGCCAAATAAAGGTGCACTTCTTGGCTTAAGCTGTGTCATTGTTGGCACTAAGCCATACCTGTATAAGTGATATACAATTGTACATGCAACATACTCAGTGCACATGCAGTACGCTTGCCATGATATCCCAACCCACACTAGTAAGAGGTTTAACAGCACCGTAGAGTACTTATTATGCTGGCAGTGGCGCTGTATCGGATCAAATGATAAAGCTGAACTTCGGATAGAAGCAAATGGCGCATGGTGACCGACTTATAAACCTATATATGATTGTATCCGAAGTCTGATGTGATCGTGAAAGAGATCATTGTTGCGCCAGCACAGCCACGTCTTCGGTTGGTAAGATCGACTCCGACTTTGAGTTCAGCGACATTCCATATCAGACCTGCACGCGTGTAGCATAGTTGCGGTGTTGCGGGTAGAAACAGCAATCGATTTAAGGACTTCGATACATGCCCTGCCAAGGTACGAACGAAGGTATGTCATTCGAAACACATAATCACAATATCTCTCGGTCCCAACGTCCGATTTGTGCAATGTTATTTCTCTGGTATCCCCCACCACGTCGCGGCGACAGCAAAAGTGCGCCACGATCAACTTCGATTCTCGCAAGTGAGACTCCATATCATTCCGTCGGACCGGCTCATATACCCACCAAACGAATAGTATGACAGAGACTCGAACTCGGACCAATCGCCCACGCTCCATGCCATCATCTGGAAAGTCAGGCAATCCAAGGTCGCGACGAACAAGCAAGAATATCTGTTGTGGACTGTGCCGACGAGAATTGAATTAGTTCGTCCTCTGTGGTGACCAGCAGGTCGTTTAGCCCGTCTGCCTTGACTTCATAGGTGAGGCAGTTCTCCTCCACTCACGAGCAATGCTCCATTGTGTTCCACATCCGTACAGTATTATCAGCCGAGGCAGTGATAATAAAGGTGCTATCAGAAGAGATGGCGAGCGAGTAGATAGTGTCAGAATGACCGGTGCAAGGGTGATTCCAGTATCCGTGTGACGAGTTCCAGAAGATGACATTTGCGTTGTTTCATGTGAAAAGAAGTTGCTGTCCGTCGAGCGACCATACAACACTTCGAATACCATCTTGGTGAGCAGTCCGGAAAAGAAGTTCAGCATTATCAGTGCAACAATCTCAACGACAATTTTACTCCATCTGGGCTGAATGTAACACGGTACAAACGCTGTACACATCACAACTATGACCATGGAGTATTGATAGGACAGCGCCGGTCTCTGCGTCCCAAATGACAAACCTGAAGTCAGTTGACCCGCTAGCAAGTCTCCTGCCATCAGAGGAGCAGCAAACCAACCGCACCTGGCCTGTATGCTTCACCAGCGGACTGAAAATATTCTGCTTGGTCCCGAGCCTTGACGTCCCAGGAGATGATGGTTTGATCATCTCCACCACTCGCGATTCGCTTATCATCTGGAGATATGGCGACTGGTCGCACACAGCTCTCGTGTCCTTCGAATGGCACTCCCACCAATATTGATGTTCCTTTATCCACATCCCAAATTCGCAGGGTGTGGTCTCTTGACAACCCCACCCAAATCATTTCTTGCTGCTGTATCAGAGCCAGGCACTCCTGACAGGTCGCGTTGACCTAGACGCAGAGATATTGTAGAGGGTCAGCATCGGAGCGGAGCGTACTTTGTGGGATATAGAAACATCCACGGTGCACAGGCTGCCTCGTGTGCGGTGACTCGTATTACGTAGTATACAGACCAGTGTTGGTGTTGGATTTCTCAGTCCGCCCCACCAGCGGTGACCTATCGGGCATTGAAGAATAGCCGAGAAATAGCCACTCTAGACTCCACGTAGACTCTGGGGCTCTGCTGGCCGACTTTTGGCGGAGTTTGTGTAAACGCTGCTCGACGATGGCATTGCGCGCTCGTCGTGACCGGTGGTGTACTTCGTACTGTACTATGTTGTGATATCAAATCCTCAAATTCGGTTTGCCTATGTAAGTCACACTCAGTACGAGGAAACAGGCTAGAGTCAAATTGAAATTATACTGTTGTCAACTGCTCTAGCTATGGACCATATTTGCCAAAACCATCCATGAATCATGGATATCATGATAGGATATTGGAATGCCCGGGAGCTCACATGAGTGCGCGTGGGGTGTCGCGGCACAAGACAGCCTTCGCGACATGGGCTCGGTGTGCCCCATTGGTTCTGGTTCTGCGACATTTTTGCTATCTAACAGCAACAATAATTCTGCCAAATCAATCAGCAACAATAATTTTGTCAAATCAATCACAATCGTCATCAGTAAGTGCAGGATATAAAAGCTGGTCATCATCATACAGTATTCTCCCATCCTCAGAGATATCTTTCGAAAACCCCCTCAAAAGATTCCACATCACCTCGCACAGAAAATGCGTTGCCCTCTCCTCGCCGTTGTTGTTGTTTTGACAGCATCTATGTTTGTCCATGCATGTTTGGGCGAATCCGAACCTTGCGAAACGGATACAGAGTGCTGCAATAATAATTGTGCCGATGATGGGGTGAGTATGAACAAGTCGTTGTGCAATCAGGATTCAATCACATGACTCACCTGTGCGCCTCAGGATGGAAATAAGATCTGCACGACGCCGAATTGAGCCGGCAGCCCGAGCGGCATGTCGCGACAGTAAGTCGCGTTTCTGCTTTCGCTCTGGTATCATGGTTGATGGTGCAATGCCTAGTTCGGAGCCAGCCAGTACAGTTGTTTTAGACAAATGTTCATATACTCGAACAATGTGGATGTTTGTACTTGTCTGAAAATGATCGATCGTGCTTGGTCTTGCTTGTCGCCACTAGTAAGCTTGAGTCGGAGAGGCTGTTGATGTGATATTGGGAGGTCGTACGAAGATGGAACGCACTGCGCAGCTTGAATCTGTTCGCCTAACGTTGGACTCGAAGGCTAGCTCGTGGATCTCTTTCTCTCTGTATGTGTGTGTGTTGAGTGTAACTGTCGAAACGAGCGATCATTGTTGTTGATGATAACATTGGGAGTCGTACGAAAAGGGAGCGTATTACTGCACAGAAATTTCCTGACATGTAATTTTGAATCTGTTCATCTGACGTTGGCATCCGAAAGTCCGTTGTTGTCGAGAATACGTTTGTGATGCTAGGAGTCGCTCGGAGTCGTGGCTCAGGCCGGGTGAAAGCCACAGTCACGCCGTCAGTTTGGCCTGGCCTGGCTCGGCTCACGGCTTGAAGCCGGGCCGTGTACTAATCATTATTTAGTAAAGGTCACTCTCTCACAAAGGTATAAGCTGAGTATTTTCCTTGTAAATGTTGTCATTACTCGAGTCTCGCATCTAGGATGTTGCCCTTCCCTTTTGAATTCTGACTGTCTCCCACAACGACATTTATCTTCTTGCTCGAACTATGTCTCAGAACGGCCATTTCTTCCCTTCTCGACTTCTACAACAACTGTTTCTCCCCCTCCTCGACTATGTAAGGAAGCCTATGGCTATGGCGCTGGACCCTGGCTCGGACTAACACTTCAACTATCGCGACATAGTAAGCACTGCTGTCCATCTTTTCTCTTCCTACTTCATTCTTTCACTTTTCACTTTTCACTTTTCACTTCTCTCCGCCTTTGTCTCTATCTCTTCATCACCGCTGCCTCATGTTCTCTCTTTTGACCTGCTTTAATGTTATTTCCGTCACTCTTTTCATCCTTCAACCACCATTCGAGGACACTCGCGTGCACCTTCCACTTGTATGCCTTGCTGCTCACTCCCGTATGTAAAAGCCTATGTACTTTTGTAGATCCTGGTTGAATTCTGAATGATTATCCTCCCTTCGGCAATGGGCTATGGCCGATTAATCATGATCAGCGCTTCAAGAAGCGAGTCAACGTGTTGGCCATGCTTTGGTCAAGGGTATTTAGTTCATGCCAGAGGTTATCTCTTTTCTCCCACCTACTTCTTACACCTTCACTCTGCTTACAGCAATCGACTACTCGTGATGAGTGAAGACCATGGACCAGATCCTCCTCCAGAAGCCCACGAGGCAACCGTTCGTGAAAGCTCGGTATGTAGTCTCAAGGGCTTACTCACTTTGGATGAACGCTCATGGCTGCTTCTGACGCTTTCTTCGCCCAGAGACGACCCCGTAGTCAAGTCAAGCAGACTATTCGGAAATTTGCGAAAGGTGTCATTAGGAAACTTTCTGTGAGTAGACTGCCAGGGTTCCTGACTCTGAATATAGTTGACATTGTGCAGAAATTCTTCAAGTATTCCCGCAGCCGCGTTCCTAGGACCCAGAATGTGAACCTTCAAGATACTTCGTCGAATCAGAATATCGAGGTAGGTGCTCGAATTCCTAATCCCAGTTCAAATTTTTATTAGAGGCGCCCAGAACACGCCACATACACTTCCTTTCACCGACGACAAGCATCCCACCACAGCTGAAAATCCCAGCAGCCAAGAGACATCCGGAGAACCCGCTTCGAAGGTACTCGCATCAAATTATACTGTTCTCGTCTCTAAATTTTGTTGGTCGCGCAGGTTCTCGACATTTCCCCTGGTGTCGAGGAAACCCCTGGTCCCAAATCAGTTGGTGCTGAAATTCAAGATGCCCACGAGGCTTCAGAACACATGAAAACATTCGGGGAGCGTGCACAGTCTGTGATGTCCGCCGCCAGGAACGCCCCAGCTGGTCTCGCTGTTGTGGATGATTTCCCGACCAATTACCTCCGGCCCCTGAAAATTTTCGACAGTGCCATTGAGAAGATCACACTTGTATGGAATACCCCTTTAATTGGTAGCGAACTAATCAAGTTATAGCTGCATCCATATGCAAGGATGGCGTTGGGCGTACTTTCTGCTGCAGCCAAAGTACGTTCTATGTTGCCCGGAGATCTGCCTCCCACTCAGAAGTCGTGATCCATCTAGATTATCCTGGCTCAAGCGAAGCGGGATGAGTCGGTAGATCGTCTTCTCCAGAAATTAGATGAAGTCTATGGCTTCATTACCAAAGACGAGAATCTTTCCAAGGTTGAATCGATGCATGATGTCATCGGAAAGATTGCTCAGCAGACTCTGGAGTGCGCCCGTTTTATTAGGGAATACACAGAGACGAAGAGCTTCTGTGAGTCGTCGGACTATTGCATTCTCACACTGGCACGAATCTTATACTCACCATGATAATAGGGAAGAGAACCGGTAAAAATGTCATCGCAGAAACGGATGATATCATCACGCGGTACAACGACGCCTTAGACGGCCTCATGCAACAATTTCGGGATCAAGTGGATCCGGACGTAGCTGTCTTTGTCCAGTTTGCGGGTAATGATTCATACGCACCTGTTCTTCTATATGCACTCATACTCTTGAAGGTGAAACGCTCGATCTCAACGGCATGACTTATGCAGCGGGAGCGGGACTAAATACCATGAAACAGTGCCTACCAGGGACGCGACAGGAGATTCTTTCCCAGATTACGGACTGGACCAACGACAGCGGAGATGCTGCTAAACCTGTGATGTGGCTATCCGGCCCCGCAGGCACGGGCAAATCAGCCATTGCGTACACGATCGCCAACTGGTTCGAGGAAACGGGAGGCCTCTGTTCATGTTTTTGTTTCGATCGGCATAGAGAAACAGACCGTCGCCATGAAAATATTTTCTCCACCATCGCGCGCGATCTTGCTGATCATGATCCGGGGATGAAACGAGCGCTAGCAAATGCAGTCAAGAACGCGACCTCGCTCAAGAATACGATGGACATTTTCCAGCAGTGGCGCAAGCTTCTCATGGAACCGCTGAAGAAGTTCCCTGGGTCAAGCGTGGGGCTCGTCTTGATCGTGATCGATGCGCTGGACGAGAGCTGCGGAGTGGAGACGCGGAAGGATCTTCTCGGCATACTTGCCGGTAAACTTCAGAACAACGGACTTCCCCAAATCACCGAACTCCCTTCCAACTTTTGGATTCTCGTCACCTCTCGCCCGCTTCCCGACATCGAAAAGTGGTTTGAAGGCGCTGATCATATTTTACGGCTGTCTATGGACAGTGTTCCACCAGAATTCGCGGAGCGCGACATTCGCGCCTTCGTATCCGAGGAGCTGAAAGAGCTATCAGAATTTCAGGACAGCCATCTTGCAACGCTCGCTGCAACAGCGGGTGGACTCTTCGAGTGGGCGCGTCTTGCGTGCGGACATATTCAGGAGCCCTTTACCGGCTTATGCCCAATGGACTGCTTCGATGCTGTCGTGAATCACAATGCTGGGGAGTGGAAAAACTTGTTGTATGATATGTATCGGCTCATCTTAACAGAAATCATGCCAAAGGATAAGTACACAACGGCCCATTATGAGCAAGCAGTAGCAAAGTTTCGCTCCGTGATGGGCCAAATACTTGCCATAGCCGAACCGCTCCCTTTAGTTTCACTGAAGGCTATGCGGCACCATTTTCCAGAGGACCACGACCATTACGACGTAGATCTAGTGATCAAACACATAGGATCCCTCCTCAGCGGCACCACCGACTCATATACCCCCATCCGACCCCTTCATGCGACATTCCAAGGATTCCTGACGGATGAATCGTCCAGTGGAGACTTCTTCGTCAAGAGAATGAAGGGACAACGACGCGACCTTGCATTCGCGTCGCTACGAGTGATGGAAGATGGTCTTGGCTTCAACATCTGTGATTTGAAGTCGTCATACCTCCCTAATTCCCAAGACACGGAGCTGCCTGAACGAGTCAAAAGATCCATTTCCCCACGTCTGTCCTATTCCTGTCGATATTGGGCTACGCATGTCCAGACAACGAAGTTTGACGAAGAGCTCGCAAAGGAAATAAGATCACTCTTCGACGACGAGCGACTGATGTTCTGGATCGAAGCACTCGGACTTCTCAATGCAATCAGCGGTGCAGATGCTGTGCTTCCACTCGTCGCCAAGTGGCTGAAGGTGAGCACATGTCTATGAGGTGGGGTCTGACAAACAGCTCATACATAAATACAGGGCCATTCTGGATACGAAGATTTGCAGTCCGCCACGATGGATGCACAAAGATTCATTCAAGTGTTTGGCGGCATGATTTTGCACAGCACACCCCATCTGTATTTATTAGCACTCCCGTTCTCCCCCATCAACTCTACCATTGCTACCAAATTTACGGCTCAGTTTCCGAATAGCCTCCGTCTAGCATCCGGCCGCGATTTGAACTGGACGGCTGTTCAAGCCATAATAAGGGGTCACACTGACGAGGTTTACTCAGTCTCGTTCTCACCGGATGGTACTCGCATCGTGTCTGGTTCAGAGGATAACACTGTGCGGCTGTGGAATGTAGCCACGGGACAGCCATTGGGTGAGCCCTTGAAGGGGCACACTCATGCGGTTTGGTCAGTCTCGTTCTCACCGGATGGTACTCGCATTGCGTCTGGTTCATCGGATAACACTGTGCGGTTGTGGAATGCAGCGACGGGACAGCCATTGGGTGAGCCCTTGAAGGGGCACACTCACGCGGTTCGGTCAGTCTCGTTCTCACCGGATGGTACTCGCATCGCGTCTGGTTCAGACGATAACACAGTGCGGCTGATGAGAGCGCTGCCATCCCTCGAGTCGAGAGAGCCGGATACCTCTGTATCTCCACTGCATCGAAGTACCGCACTTCCGACTCAAGAAAGTCGTATTACGCCAACCAACAGTAACCATCCCCTCATTTCCTTCTCGCCTTCCCTGAAACACGCCCTGCCCAACCCCGCTGACTTGCTCGAACCCATCTCTGATCATCATTCCAATTCAACCTCTTTCTTACTGCAGCCTGATGGATGGATCATGGGACCCAGATATGAGCTCCTTTTCTGGGTACCTCCAGCTTCCCGAACTGTGTTTTATTCCCCTGACACTGCAATGGTGATTCCGAGAGGAGGCGTTGAACTTGATTTGAGCTGCATGGCACATGGGACGCGCTGGTCGAATTGCCGAGATGTGTGAGTTCTTACTCTTTAGCATCCGTCCTCGTTGCTAACATCAATCTCTCCAGCTCCACGTAACGATGATTTTATTGCTGCAATATCGAGTGTACCATTGGATCTCATGATTCCCTTCCTATCTTATACCTAGCACCCATCTTGAACCTATAGTTGTCCGACTGAACGATGCACTGAAAAGCAGACTGGGCGAAACTGCAATGCTGCTGCTGATTCGTAGCGAAAACTCATTTCATCAGAGACGCCATTAGACACCATGATGATGTGTTACAGGTGCTGCGGTATTCCTGCTCTCATCACCGTCAGTCTCGACTCTATTTGTATATTTCTGAGCGGTACCTGACGACTAGGATTATACTTGGAATCTATATCCTGGTGTGCATGTTCCTGCTCCTCATCATACTTCTTTGCCGGGTTCTGGTTTGATTGTTTTTATGAAGAAACGCCACGTCAAGATAGATATTTAGCTACCGATCAGTCAATTAAAGAGAAATTAGCGGGAGGTGTTGCACATCATATTCCTAAGGATTGCTAAAATTCCTGGATGCGTGCCAAATAATATACATACATTGAAATATACTTGTACAATCCGCTTCTCGAACCTTGAGAACGAATACAACATACGCTGCGGACACATTGCGTTCTTCACTGATACCTTATCCCAAAAATCCCCTCTTCGTATGATTTGATTTCTGAATGTCATCAAGCTCATCAAACCGGAATCAGGAGGAGAGAAAACGACTTACGCAATGCGATATGCTTGGAGTGGAACCTACAGAGCGCCAAGTTCCCCATCATGCACCATATGCCATTGAGTTCCGCGTTCTTGCTGCGCCCACCAACTTCGCGCCAGACGCTATTCAGCTCTCCTTCTTTGTCGAGGCCCCAGATAGGATACAATTTATCGTGCAGGGACTCCGGAAGCAGAGCACGATAGGCATGACGTGCATCAGCGTAACTGATGATGTGAGCCACAATGTCTATTGGTCAGTAAGAAGAACGTACCCAGTAGCGAAGACCACTACGTCCGCATCGAGAGTAGAACCGTCTTCGAAAAGTAAACCTGTCTGGGTAAAGCGCGAGATTGGCCCGTCACTCTTAAGTTTAATCTTCCCGTCGATGATCATCTGTGAAGCTCCAACATCTTGATATTAACATTATATGGTCAGCGCAGACACGCTCCAATCCGTAAAGGGACCAACCGAGATAGTATCCTCCTCCCTTATTCCATGCCATAAGTAGAAAGCCAGAGTCGTCGTCGCCCAAAGTCGTCTTGAAGCCTCGTTTTCGCAGGCCGTCAAGAATCTCCCTGAATCCCTCCTCTATCAGGCAACCGGAATATGATATGTAATCACGTACTTATCGGCATCAGCAATGTCTTTGGTGACACGTTGATGTATTAATTTGAGCAATGAATTGGGGTAAGACGCATTCACGCGATCCGCAACATCAGTAGGAGGGCCGCCCTCCCAGAAGATCGCTGGGTGCGTTTATAATAGCAAAATAGTGAAATAACAAATAACTCACCCATTAACCTCGGCATACCCTCCTTTGTGGACATGATGTAACTCGGGCTACGTTGAACCATGGTCACATCTGCGCCAATTTTGCTTAAATACCATCAACATGCTTTAAAAAATCATTTACCAACGCCATTTTCGACATAGTCCGCACATATGTCATGCGCTACACTTTATAGTGAGCAGTGAAAATACAACACTCATGATGCAACCCCTACCAGACGTGCAAGCGCCAACAACGACGACCTTCTTCCCTGCGTGATCAGTTGCGAGATTGTGATGGCTGGAATGCAATATCTGCCCCTTGAAGTTGTCCTATGTGGGTATTTAATGTTAGCCTGAGGACCCCTACATTCATGGATCGAACGAACCTGCCCTGGGATATCTGGAATTCGGCCCATACCGCTGCCAAAGCCCAAGGAGAATACGACATGGTTGACCTCAAAGGTACGCTCCCCTTTGTCAGGACGTTGGACCGTGACACTCCATTTCTTTCCCTTCGTACCCGGAATGACGGACATGACCGTAGCGCTGGTCCAAACATCGAGCTCCATACTGTGTGCATATGATTCTAGCCAATCTGCCAGTTTCAATGCAGGCGTGTAGACAGGCCACGAGGTAGGGAACCTGGGTAATTTTTTGTTAGATAGTCATGGATGAATTGAGGTGTGAGACCCACGGAATGTATGGCATGTGGTCATACCCTACACATAGGTGGATTGAGCAAGAAGCAAACACAATATTCTGACATAGTAAGTAATAGGCTCACAGACGGGATCATGGAGACACAGCGCTGCATAACGCTTTCTCCAATTATCGCCAATCCTCTCGTTCCTTTCCACTACTAGAGTCTTCATGCCAAGCATCTTAAGCCGGGCTGCAACGTCGAGCCCGCTCTGCCCGCCTCCTATCACTACGACGTTGGGTTCTTCGTCGATGCATTCAATTTCACGTGCACGCTTCACGGCCCACTTTCCATGGTTCGGCTGGTAGTCTCGTCTGGGCCCATTCTGTTCTGGAAAACCTTTGAGATTTTCCAAGTTCGTGAAGACGGTATGGGCCTTCCATGAGCCATCTGCGAGTGGTACAAGCCGGAACACCCCAGATGCAATGCCGACTGTAGTTTCAAAGTCAAAAAATGCCTGGATCCAAGCGATATCTGGGTATGGTCTCTGAAGCTCTACGAGATCTTCCCTGAGTTTGAAAGAAGACAAGGTAAATAGTGGGAGTTGGTCTGTGAGGAATGTTTTCACGGAAGGAATGCTTTGGAAGGTGTGGAAGTCCCATGTTAAGGAGAGCATATCGCGCCAGAAGACATCATCGACGAGGAGATCTATGACTGCTGTTATATTCTTTGATTGCATCGCTTCCGCGAAAGTTAAGAACCATTGACTCGCGATCGCTTGAACATTGACATCGGGAGGAATTGAGCTTCTGAGGTTATCGAGAGTAGGGAGGGCCAGTTGGTTCGCCATGATGCACAGAAAACATGACCTTGCGATTATCACCGCTATAAATGCTTTTTGACAGAACGGAGTTTCATCGAACTCCAATTTCGGCTCTACTCCCTGCAGGTCAGATGTTCACATCCATCGTTGGAATCATGATAGGGAATGCATCAGAGCTCAAGTGACCTGCCACCGTGACTGCGAGGGCGACAGGTTTTGATAACAAGATTAGTAACTTGCTATGCAAAGTTGCCACGCTCATGAACCTGTACTATTGCAGTGAGTCACTCAAAGTTCCACGTAGTAGATCAGATACGACCCTAATCAATGCCCTCTTGTACACCCGATACCTGTTGTGAATGAACTCTCCAAATCTTGCTGCTCTGCCCGACGATCTTTTATTGGAGGTAACATCATGTCTATCCTCTAGAGTGGATATCCTCAACCTGGCACTCTCAGTAAGTATCCCAAACTCAATCATGACTTGTTCTTTCCTGAATTCATCACACGAAGAGCAAATACTTGTTCACTAGCACATGCCCTGTATTGTATGCCCATGTACACCTCGGGACCGCAGAACAATGCCAGCGAACCCTGTCGATGCTCCGTTCTCGCCCGGACGTTGCGCGCCATATCCAGAAACTCCACATTGGATTTTCTGCCTCCTCCAACTATATGGTCGATATCAATGGAATTACGATCTCAGCGATGCTGAGAGAACTGGCGCCGAAACTGGACGTGCTCCATACTTTCATCTGGGACGCGGATGAGATTCCTCAATGCGATGATATGTGGTTCGCCTTACGAATGTCGTATGTCTGATCGGCGAATCATTTCTCACCAATTACTTAATTTTGTCACAGGTGCCCACGACTGCGCACACTTGGCACATGTTATGGATCTGTGATACCCAGCCAACGAAGTCATGTATGTGCATAACAAAAATGTGTACCATTCATTCATTTTCTTCAGTTACTGGAATTTAAGAACCTCCGTGGGTTCTCGTTAACCCTAAAATATGGATACCATACTCATCATACAGATGACTTCCAAGGTCTGTGCTTTGTTGACATGTGATTTCTTAGCACTCTGATGCGCTGAAGATGCTCTTCCTTTCGATGGTCGTCTTTGGGATATGCTGATTCGGCGCTCTCCGGACCTGGAGGAGCTGCATGTCTTGGGTGGACCGTTGATTCTAGACGGAACAGTACACCCGCTCTGCAACGCACGCTGGCCCCTCCTACATTCTCTATCTCTAGGCGACGTCATGTTAGATTGGTCTTCAGGACCAGGGCCTATGTCCTCCAAGCGCCCCTTCATAGCCTTTTTGGAGGCTCATCAGCGTCTGCGGTTTTTTCGTATATCCCGCACTGCACTGAGTCCTCATATCCTCCCTTCACTCGATCCATCCGCTTTACCACACCTTACCCATTTTACTGGTTCGTTGGAACATCTTCAAGCTCTAGCCCCCTCCCATCCACAAATCACACACTTAGCGATCGAGGAGCCGCTAATCATCCGTGATCTCGCACCTCTTTTAATTGCAGGGGTATTGCAGAGCCTGCGCTGCCTCACTGAACTTCGCGTTGCCTTCGTTTTCCATTCTTCGTATGAAAATGGAAACTTGATTAGAAACCTTGTAAGCGCTTGCCCTGGACTGACCACGTTGGAGATTACGTGCGCAAGAAGGTCGTCCTTCAAAGTTGTATGTTTGTTTGTCTTGATTGCCACCTGTATACTAAGTTTTTCGATGTCTCTCAGGATACACTAGCCAAATCCGTCAATTGCCTCCCTCGTCTGCGTCACCTACGGTTGACGCTAGTTCCGATAGCCACAGGGGACTCATTGCGCGTTTGCGCATCCCATGTCGTACAAGCGATCCCACGCTTACAGTCATTTGCACTGACGTTCATTTCTGCCTCACTTCCTCTATCTCTTACCCCCGTCAATTTTGGCTTGTATGAGGAGAGTGGGAACTACGTTGTTCGTACCGATGAGCATGGGCTCCCTCATTCTCTGAGCTGCACCGAGCGAAGACCTGCGCTACGCCTGCCCTTTACACTTCCAAGCATCCCCATCCCGCTAGCAGTGCCGCTACTGACTTTTTCTCCTTTCACATCCCATTCCCCGCCAAGGGAGAGGAGAATGAGAATGCAGCGATACTTGCTGAACCTCCATCCAGGCACTTCCAAGCATGGTGGGTTAGGTCTTATTTTGGAGCGTAGTACGGCAGGGGATGAGGCGAGGGTGCTTACTGTTCTTGTAGCCCTGAGCGGGCTTGCGTTGTGGGGTTTCTTTGCATAGATTTAGTCGTGATGGGTACGTACAACCTAACAGACTCTTATTTAAATTATTTATTATTTATCGGAGTTAAAGTTAATTTATTGGAGCGCATCGCTCGGAATTTGGGGACATGATATCAATAGATTCTCGAAGCCAAGAGACATGTCAACTCACCTGTGTATCAGGAACTAACTTACACTTTCAGGGTAATGGAAACCACCGCAGCACAGGCTTGCTATCAAATTTATAACGCGTCAATGGTTTACTATACAACTTGCGATATATGGCACATCATTCTCATCGTGGGGCGATGTGTGCGGTTGTTAGTTCTTTCGAGGGCTTAGTGCAAGCTGCGATGGTGATTTTCCGGGAACATTGGCACATCATCTAGCCATACGGTTGGTTATCCCTCCGAGGGCGACCATGCCAGGGCATATGGTCATATCAAAGACATATCAAAGCAGTTCAAGAAGAAGGTAGGCCAGAAACGAAGGTACATGCGACTCGGTTCACAACCAGTACGGCCGAGGTCTGCTCTAGTAACATTTTGATTATGAAGCAACCCAAGTACCGATGATATCGGCAGTATTATGACATTCTCCTAGATGAGTTCTTAACCTCTACCATCACTCGTTCTGGTCACCACTCAGTAAATCCAACACTTCTGATCTAATTTTCGATGACAGCGATGGAGGTATCAGATAATGCTCTGTAAGTGATTGACACTCCAAAGCTCGCTTAGTAAGGTTTTGAAATTTGAACCATCATGTCCGGGACTTGCGACAACTCCATCAGATATCATATACACAGGCGATGCTGTAAAACAACTTCAATAATTGTGTCGATTAACTCCAGAGCGTTTGGCCGGTCCTGGTATCCAGTGAGAGAAGCCAGCTTCATATGTGTGAACGGCAGCTGCATTGGGAGTCACTATGTACTGCTGAAGAGCAACACGAACAAGGTAAACGAACTCCTGCCTAAGTCCATGGGGATCCTGGTCCCAAAGACAGAAAGTGTTTTTCTAAAATAATGACAACAGCTTATGATCAATAATCAGCAGATTCATTGCGATGTGGCATTGAATCTTACCAGAACCAAGCTGCATAATCTTCTCCGATGTTGAAAACCCAGAGGGCTAGTGAACCGTTGAGATGAGAATCATGTGCATGACCTGTGAACAATACGACATACCGAAAATTGTAACGTGGACCACATCTCATCTTCTTCGGGGCGGTAATGCTGATGAATCATGATCAAAATGAAGAAATGGTTCAGGACAAATCTACCTGCATACTGTGATTATCAACACATCAGTGCTCCAGCTCGACATAAGATCAACACACTCACAACCTGCCAAGGGACCAGCAGCGTGTTCGGTCAGCAAGACTCGAGCTTGACAGAGAATCAACACATTCACGATCTGTCAAGGAATCAGCGACATATTCAGTCAGCGAGACTCAAGCTTGATAGAGGATTGACGCACTCGCAGACTGTCAAATGATTACAACGTGTTCGGTCAGCGAGGTTTGAGCTCGACAGAGGTTCAACACGCTCACATCCTGTCCAAGGATCAGCAAGGCCCCAGCTCGACAAAGGATCGACACACTCACAGCCTGTCGGGGGATCAGTGATGTGTTCGGTCAGCGAGGCTCCAGCTCGACACACTCACAAACTGTCAAAGGATCAGCAACATGGTCAGTGAATGAGACTCCGGCTCGACAGGGGACCCATACACTCACAGACTGTCAAGGGATCAGTGATACATGTGCGGAATCTGGCGTTATGCATGTAAAGATACTAGACAAGAAAATGACAGCAGGACCGACCACCCGCAAGAAAGACACTTTGATGACCAAGTGTCTTCACCATCCCTATTGTAGGCCTAAAGGAGTTTCAAATATGTGGGAAAATCGAAGAGTGTCCTGGCGGTGGCCAGCGTGCTTCTGTGCTTCTGTGTTTTCTGGAATGTTCGTGTTAAAAAAATGTTCACATTCACGACGAGAAGATGTACTCCACAGCTCGAAAAACCTTGGAATCGTCAACTCGTTTAGAGGAGTGACGAGGATGAGAGAGTACATTAACCTGCTATGAATGACTTTGATGAGTGTGAATGTCCACCTTGGATAACCATGTGTACTTTACAGACACTTACGGAGAGGTCAGTCACCCAACTTTGATGGATCAGCGGGGGATATTTTCGCGCTGGATAATTCGCAAGTCCAGGTGTTATAGAGGCGCCCTTTAAACTAGTTAGTACTATCTGACAGTGTACGCCACCTCGATGGACAGAAATCGGAATGAAAAAAACCACGTGTATTTGAGGGTGAACAATATAACTCTGAGGTGGGCCTTAAAAGAAAAGAAAACGTCACGCCACTGCAACAAATTCCTCATCTACATCTGAAACGACACTTTCCCCAGAAAAACAAATGCAAAAATCATCCGCCAGTCCCTCAGCTGCCGTGCAATCAACAGACAATGACTGCGTCACCAGTCAACGCAACACCGTGAAACAAACGACCGCCCAAACTCATACACTGATTTGTGGCAGGGCCGGATGTCCGGTCGTTTTCGTTTACGATGTTGGCACTGACTGGCCCATGGTCAGTTGCCTCATCAATGACCACTCGCCGGTCTGTCAGGGCGGGTTTTATGAGCTCAGCCATTCACCTCCCCGCTGCGACGCACAACAAACGCTGAGCCCTCCGCAGCTCGCTCCTGAGAGCTCGGGGGTCAATAACAGTAATCGCAATGACAAAGTCATCGCGGGCGATAGCAAACGGAGAAAAAATGAGGATCAAAGAAAACAGGAGCTCGAGAACGACGAGTACACCGAGGATGTACGACCCATATCCGTCAGGTGCCGCGGATGTCAGAAGGCCATCAGCCTCGACAAGCGCTCCAGGTACTATCCTGGACTGTGGATCAAGCACAGGGGTAAATGCGCGGGCATCCTCAAGATAGAGGCGAGCTAATCTCTCCGACGAATGGGATGAGTAACTAACTCGATTTCATAGACATTTAAAAAACTAACCAGGAGAAGAGACTGGTTTTGTCCGTCGAATCCAGAACGGCGCCCGCCAGCCGCTTCCTCATTTGCGTTTGACGCGAGCGGTGAAGAGTCGGACGAGGATGAGTACGAGGGTGAATATGAGGTGATGGGATTCAGCAGTAAGTCAGTCCTCGATGGGAGCGAATTCTCCGATTCACCACGAAATCTAGCGTCAGACGTGCGATTCTTCCACGACGGCTGGGAAAAGGGTGAAAGGTGACGAGTGTACCGGTACGCCACTACGAAGGAATTCATGGACATCTTAAATATTATGGGTGAGCGTCAAAGGCAAAGGTTCAGAGCGTGCTTATCGACCTTGACATTGGAAGTTATACTTACCAGTAGCGAACATCTACGGCCCTTGGGCCTTGTAGGGAACCCGTTGTGACTTTCATTCACAATACAATCCCCTTTTAAAGTCCTCCAGGATTTCTGTGATATGATCACTAGACAAACGAATGGGCATGGAAGATAAAGATCCTTTGTGCTTGCTTTGTGTCCAAGCTTGCAAGCACGCGGTATGATGATCGACGTGGCTGATTTTGAGTTCTCGGACTCGGAAGGAGCCGGCACACATCCGACTTGCATTCTTTTCTTTGTCTTTGTGGTTGCTTTGTCTCTTCACCTGGACGGCGAGGCCGGACTGTACATTCGTTCCTCACTCAGGCTTCGCAGTTGGAGTTCATATCGCATTTCTTTTACTGAGGCTTGATATACCGATGGTTGAATGCGATATCCAGCTATCTATCTTGACACATGACATGGTCAGCTAGCCGTGCTGGGTCCCAGCCCAACTACTCAGGCTGTTGGCTTAACCTCGCTGTTTTTGCATTAGACGACGGCAGTTAACTTGCTGTGCTGTATTAGTCTTTCAAAATCTGCAGCCAACGGTGACAACTCGGCTAACTGTTCTTCGAAGCTTCAAGATCTAGTCCTTACTGTCGCAAAGTCTGCACTTGAACATGAGTGCACCTATTTCTGCACGCCTATCCCTTTGACCATGGCATGTCTTGTCTGCGTCCCGCCTATGCCATATCATCGACTTCAACTCTACAGCTGGCAATCCGACGTGCTGCGTATGACATCGGTCAGACTCTGATTGCAGTCTGCGGCATTGTTGCGAAGATGTTAAAAAACAGAGGTCCAGCTGAACAGTATGTTGTCCGTGCAGAAATGATGCAGACGTTCTGGATCGCTGGTTACACAAAGTGCGACACCTTCAACAGCTCCGGGGCATTGCATCATCTGAATGAGGGTATTCGCGCACCATGACGCTTTCTCGCAGACGTCGCATTGACTGTTTTCACTGCTTTGGAGGGTTATTGCGACCCCTCAAAGACTGAGCCACGAGATTCACGCGTGGTGATGTTTTGTGAACGGTACCCACATCGGTGAGTGCAAAAGTTCTCTGACATTATATGTGTGGTGATCATGTACGAAATGACCGTCCCGTCTACTGATCCATTATTCTTTACATGAACTTTTAACCTTCCGCTGCATCGAGTCTTTAAAAAGTGTGGACTCCAATCCTTTCATTATCTGGAGGTTAAATTCATGAGTCAAGCCTTACGCCATCACCGGGACCCACTCACAGCCTATACCATCGTCATCGTCATCGTCATCAGCCCAGGCACTTTTTTTGCCACTGCGAATCGCGTGAATACCATGGACAAGACTAAGACGTAGAAGCTGGTGTTGAACACGCTCATAGTATTGAATGATACTAAAGCTCGCTGGTTAAGATGCGTTGCCTTATTCCAGATGAGATTAGTTGAGCCCTTTTAAATGCCAGCTCGGCGAAGGGGGAATGCATTGGTTTAAAATTCGGGAATGATTTTTCCCAAACTTTGAATGTGTCAAGTCGCACGACGTAGTGCTAGTAACTGTCACTAGCACAAATCCCTTCTCCCCCTTCGTCCACGTATGCTTAATTGCCTGTTTTCTAGCACGAGTCGGCTCGGTGTCAGTTGTGTCCACCCCGTCATGCTGTGCTGTGGATACCATCTACACATTCTAGCACGCCGGCGTACCACATTGAAGTACTGATGCAAGCTCACACCCTGTTACTACTTCTCCTTGCTCGTTTAATTTCGTTCTTTCGTTCCAGTGCTATATGGCAACCACCTGTACTTTTCATGAATTGGTCACTATCTCAAATGCATCTAGGTATCATGACAATACGACAATATCTTCACTCCAAAACACAACCATTTTCACCATGCGCTGGCTAAAGCTGCTTGGGAGTCCGTCGACGATCTCTGTCGTTTTATTTGCAATCGCCCTCATACAGCATTCGGAGGAAAAACCTTTGTCACCCTAGGGGATTTTCGACAAGTAGCAGCCATATTCAGAGGAGCAGGGGAATCAGCAACGCAAGCAGCATCAGTGAAATCATCATCATCATGGCGCAAAATGCGCGTGCTTTCACTGCACACTCCCGTGCGCATGGCCATAGATCCTCAATTCACTACGCTAATTGACGAAATTGGCGAAGACACCACTGGCACTCGACAAAGGCTCCTGGTCTTAAATAAAACAACAGAGATCGATGAAGCGCGTGCTTTTCTTTTTCCACCGCACATACTAGCGGATGCTCGTGCGTGTCTCTGGTGACTATGCATTTCTCTCACCACGAAACGTATTTGTTGACGAATTCAATGACAAAATTCTGGACTCTCTACCTGGTGATTACCGTGAGTGATAAATGATAGTGCACTGAATGAAGACTGAAATCGCTATCTAAGTTCAGATATTTTAAAGAGGCAGACCACACACCTATCGACGCTCCTGAACAAACACCAGGTTACCTGGTAATGCTTACTGCGCCCGGAATTCCTCCCCATCGACTGGATCCCAAAATAAATTGCATATGCGCCATACAACGCAATCTCTCAGTGGAAAAAGGATTGGTGAGGAATGCGCGTGTACAAATAACTGCTCTACATCGTCGATTGGTCAAAGTCCAACTGCTCCACGATCTCGAAAATCACTGCATTCCACGTATCACGTTTTCCTTCCATCCTTATCGATTTATCGCTCAAGCTGGAAATACAATTTGTTGTTGAAGGCTGCTGTCACGATATGTGTATAGTGATCATATACAAAACGACCGTCCCGTCTACTGATCCGTTATTCAACTTTCAACCATCCGCTGCATCGAGCTTTTAGAAGCCGCAGGGCTCCGAGTCACCAATTCTATCATTTACTAGAGGTTCAAATTCATCAGTCAAGTCCTACACCATCATCGGGACCTACTCACAGCCTATACCATCTTCATCGTCACTCTGGCTCCTGTTACACTCCGAGCCACTGGTGGCGGGTGCTGCTGAGATTTGCGCGAAGGCCACAGACAAGAGTAAGATGTAAAAGCTAATTTTGGGCAGGATCATGGTAGTATTGAATTCGAATGATACTGTTGGTTAAGCTGCGTTTTTGTGTGCTAGATTGGATTATACTCGGGCCATTTTATACATCGGCTCGGTGAGGGTTTACCGAAGTGAAGCACGTTGCTTTGGAATTTAGAGATAGTATTTCCTCATATTTTTGTCAAAGGTAAAACGGAAGTCGGCGTTCAAATTCGGTGCACAGCGATTGAATGATGCGGACTTACCATGGCTGTATTAATCATAAGTGTTGCCTGGCGGTAAAGGTCTCAGACAGTATTGACCCATATCTGAAGGCCGGGATGACGGTACCCCCGTAGGTTTGTACTGTTTTTGGTTCCAACACCGCAATGCTGATGCCCATAGCACCTCCGAGCAAGGACATGCCGTCACTTTCGGGTCAACTTTGAGCGAAATCTGTTTAATGCAGTTGCTGCCATAATGAAGTACTTCGACCGAAATAGTCGGCGATAAGTTCACAAGTTGGATTGGAACCACTCAACGATATCTGCGTGATCCGGGCTGATCAGGCGGAGCCCAAGAGGTGGATTGGGACGTCATATAATTATACTCGCTGGAGCCTCGAGCGGTTGACCATGTCTGACTGTATGAGTTGTTCTGTCAACACCACGCATTTTTTTACGTACGAAGTTACATTCTACACCTGAATAGAGATACGTCCTGCGGTTCGATAGCCATGGGTCATGGTGATTGGTCTAGCTCAGCTGCTCGCCTGTCATGTTGACTCATGAGAAAAAATAACCTTACCCTGGATTGAGGACAGTGGCCCTACGCCTCAGCATCAGGGCATTCGCGTACCCGGAGATGGCATAGATTATGATGCTACAAAGCCTGGGTGAGGTGGAAAAGCATTTCGATTTCATTTCTGTTATCCGTCGGTGATTTCCTAAGCGCCCAACATTGTGGGCGTTACAGTCGCTGCGATTAGCATCGGCATGCATCAGAATCATCATGTGGCACAACGCCACCATGCAGCCCACAGAACTTGAAGGAGCGACTGTTGGTTCCTTCTATCGGTAAATCCATTCTCCGACTGCAAGCTAGAAAACATCAACACTTCAAAACAAAATTTATCGGCAATCTCCTTGCAATTTTCGACAACCTACATGTGCTCCAAGCTGAAACATGTTTTCACCTATTTTTGGGCAACTCCAACGTCGAAAACACGTTTTGAACGTCCATAATGACACACATGGGTCCAACTGTTGTGGCTACTGGCAGGCTGCAGCACACCATCGCGATTCGCAAGTACCTCCCACCCTCTGTCGATATCAATCAAGTTTCATCTCAAGCAGCCATTGTCACGAGTCTTCACGAGAGCGTGCATTCTAACCTCGATAAATATGACAGATTCATCTGCATGGTCGCAAGCGTCTAGCTATTTGCTAGTAGTCATCACCGAGTCGAACTTTTGGTGTTGATCGACTCCGCTGTTTAATCATGGACGTTGCAGCTAGCCGCTCCGCTCGACTCGGACTACATCTCAAGATATGGCCATATCATTTGGCGTCTCTATCAAATGAAAGTATTCATTTCCTGACTTTTCGTCGCTCTGGCGTTTCAGATGTACCATCCAACGATCTCTCACGCACATGTCGTTTTCAGTCATCCTCGGCAAACTTTTTATGAGCCCACATACGCAAACTCTCGTCCAATTTGTACAGATACATTTCTTTTGGCCTATGTGAGTACAATTGTGTGTATGCTTCGGTACGCACTGTATAGTTATGGAGTGCAGTCTGTACAGGTATCCGTTCAAACCTCCTACACATCCGAAGTCATTTCATTTAGCTTATCCACCTCCTCATAAACTTTTGTCCAGTCACGACAAACGGTCTCGTATCCCCTGACGGCGGTCCCCAAATTATTTACGACCGGCTCGATTTTGATATTGGGGTGGCACAAAATTGATTGGCGAAGATAATTCATGCAGTGACGAGTAACCGACGACGGGGGGCGCATTTCCGCATAGTTGTCACGGATAATTCCCAGGCACTTGAGCTGGTGAAAGAGCGTCACCGTGTAAACGCGACTTTCACCCGTCTCTGCATCTTTGATGGGAACGGTGTGTCCTCCCCGTGGAACGAGTTTCGCAAACTCTTCTCCGCCCTCATCCGTATCGACGCGGTAGTGTGCTGTTTGGTCTATTCGCATCCATACTGGTTCTCCGAAATCTATTTGAAGGGATAGATCTGATACGTGGAATCGTCAGTCAAGTCTGTGGGACACTCGAAAGGTTTGTAGTACCATGGCTGAGAGCAATTCCTTTGAAAAGACTGCTGTCGGACAATCGAGGCCTTCGTGCAATAAGATTGGCAAGGCCAATGCCTACGACTGTGGCGAGTATTACTTTAAGAGCAAAGAAAAGTCGTCTCATCACTACCATGTGCAGGGAATCGCAGTAGCTTTTGGCGCTTAATATCCAACTACAGATAGTACTAGTAGCCCCGTGGCAGTACGCTACCAGTGCGATACTCACGGTGTGATTCCCGGAATGATCAGAGTCGCCGCATCATAATGCGGAATACGGCCAGTAGTCACCTGTAGTCACCTGTACGATTGATGCCATGACAAGGTACGGGGACTCATCATCATCGTGGGGTTGCTTCGGATACAGATCACTACGTGGCTCGTAGAAGCATTCAGGTGCCGTAAAGTTATGGAAGGCAAAGGTTAGCGTAATGAGGACCCGGTGGTAGTCCATCACTGGCAACCAATTACTTATCTGCGGATCTTAGTTTGAGCGCATCAGCTCCGTGATAACACCGAGGTTAGCCCTTACCATAGTGGGAGACCGATACGTCATTGATTCATCTTCTATAGACGCCGGTTAATATTATGTAATATGTTTCCACTCAGGCTGAACAACTACGCCGATGCAAGATTTTCGTGTTGTTTTCAAAAAAAAAATCTGGAGTACAAAGTCCAAAGTCCAAACAATACAATCCCGAGACCGGCCTACTGTCAAAGTACACTAAATAAATATTTGTTTTACATGTACTCTGACCCGGGCATTCTACAACTGTTATCTCAGTATCCAAGCGACCTTGCTCACACATTCGTGTCTGCTGAGTCCTGGTCATTACTCTTGTAGTTCGCATGCACTCTCATGCCAGAGGAACTAGTGAACGTTTTGGAGCCACCCTGCAAACTATACCCGAAATCACCCATACGGATTGCTTGTATTGATGGCTTCGAGGTCATGACCCTGGACATGGTGTCCTCGGACCAACCCTTTCCTTGCGCGACCCGGAAAACTATGAGCAACATTGCAATTATCTGTGGCATATCATAAGCACCGCGAATGCCTCTCTAATCGCCAGTACTAACCTGAATCTGAGGCAGCAATTCAATAAATGCTGCAGAGATGGGATTGTTTGAAAGGAAGAGTATCAGAAGTGCCAGCGAAAACGCGGAATAAAGAGCGGCAGATTCGACTATCATCGCAGCAATAGAGGTGTACTGAGTGCCGTAGCCAGAACCAAGAACTTTGGAAATTCGATGACGATATGTGAGGAGACGAAGTACGATAACGATCGTGATGATGATGTTCAGTGCGAGTGAGAGGCCGAGATATGGAACGGTGTAGTTGATGTTAGTCGAGGTGAAAAATGGGGAATTGCTGGTTAATTGAAGCAGCCACATGATACCCAAAGCTATTGGTTGCGATAGTGAGCGTCCGATACAATCAAACAGACATTGAAAGTATGTAACTGACCGATAGATGCAGCCAACATCAGACAAGGGAACAACATGATGATCCACACTGGCACCATACACCCTTTGTAAATTACCATGCAGCGCCAAACCTGAACAGATATATGAGCGATAACATTTTCAACATCGAATACCTCTACTCACGACCAATCCATCTGAAAGAGCCATCATCAGAACACCACAGACGTTTCCAAGCATGTCCACAGGAATGCCGAACATGTTATTCTCGAATGCGCTCGGACCGCCTGGATAATCGCGATATTGAATGAATGCGAGTTGCGTGAAATCAGCCAGCGTTGCCATAAACAAGGTGCCGAGGATAAAGTCTATGGTGATGTATATGAGCAGAGGCAGGTTCTTTTTGTAGCTCGTGCGGGTAATTTGCCGGGTGAGGAGGTAGAAGCACATAAAGAACAGTGTAACACCAATGCCATATGCAATGGAGCTGACCACCGCACCCTGCAACCAGCCTTTCTCTGCGAGAAGCGCTTCAGACGATTCGTCTGGTGTCCAACTAGATGACATGATATATCAGATAGCGAACAGAATAACCTGAAGGATCCTCAGGCTTCTGGAGGAGTAAGGAGATATCTGGGGAGAGTGGGAGTGAGTCGCGACCATGATGTGAACACCTCGTTAAATAATGGCAAAGCGTATCCATTGCAAGGTTCTTAAGCGGGTGCGATAAACCGTGAGTTGACAGTACTTTCAAGCATGACCGTGACGTGGCGGGATTAATCAGTACTACAATTGCAAAATCGGAACCTTTCAATCGACTGAACATTTCCTCTTCAGGAAACGATTCAAGAGTCACGAGGACGCATGTTTGAACGGTCCACGGAACTGGAAGTCCAGGGAGATACGACGGTTCCTCCCAACTAACGCGCATCCCAGAATATCTGAATAGACTAGAACTTACCTCATAGCACAGCATCGACGCTCGATTGTAAGCAATCAGTGCCTTGTTAGCGTTGAATCCGAGGTACTAGTAGATCGGCTCCCAACAAGTTTGCAACCATCGAAACACCGCTATTTCGGCGGCGCATGACACAGCCGCGATAATCCAAGTTGAACGTTCCAACTTGGTCCTAACATTGTCATTTCCAAACGCATCAGCCTTTATCGCGTATCAATTCTCATTTGGCACACGTTGATCTTCGAATGGCTGAAGTTACAGGCAAAGTAGATTTCAAAGTTGGAGACGACACGTACCAGACCTGGTACAAAATCGTTGGGGATCTCACTTCGGATGCACACCCTCTCATCGTGCTGCACGGTGGCCCCGGCGTCTCGCATGAGTATATGACACCTCTCGCCGAAATTCACAACAAATGCAACATTCCCGTCATTTTTTACGACCAGATTGGCATCGGAAAGTCCTTTTTTGAAGGTGTGGCGGACAAGCCCAAAGAGTTTTGGACCATTGATCTCTTCGTGGATGAACTGGAAAACCTTGTTGCCCACCTTGGTGTCCAGAATGGCTTCGCTCTTCTGGGTCACTCCTGGGGAGGGATGCTCGGGGCACACTACGCCAGCCACAGGCATCCTGTAGGTCTCAAACACCTCGTCATCACCGGCGGAGCGCCGTCCATGGCACTGTGGGAACAAAGCACCGGCCAGTTGCTGAAAGCCCTGCCAGCGAATATGAGGGAGACGATTGAAAGGCACGAGAAGGAGGGAACGACGGATAGCCCCGAATATCAACAGGGGATGGGGATCTTCTATGAGAAGCACGTTTGCAAGACCCCCTGGCCGAAGGTGATGGAAACGTCCTTCGCGGCTATGATGCGACATCCCACCGTATATCATACGATGTAAGTGATGTCTCGATGCGTCCTTCTGATATGTACTGATCATGGTTGCTAGGATCGGACCGTCAGAGTTTACGATCACAGGAACGCTGAAGTCGTGGTCATGTCTGGATCAGATTCACACAATCACTGCTCCAACTCTCCTCACCAACGGTGTGATGGACGAAGCGCAGGACGTCTGCGTGAGTCCTTTCTTCCAGAGAATCCCGCATGTGAAGTGGGCGCAGTTCTCGCAGCGTCACATGCCATTCTTGGAGGAGGAGAACCAGGCGAGGTACCTTCAAGTGGTGGCTGATTTTCTGACGTATCCTCAATAGTTGATCCTATAAGATATAAGTAAGATTGAATGCATGGGAATGGAATAGCCAGATTGTCACAGAGATTTCCTCCTTTCACGGGTACAGCGAAGCATTAGCCCAAAGAGGGATTGTTCTACTCAAAACATCATCATTGCGAAGACGCATAAGTAATTTGCAGGAGCCGGTTTGCCGGGCTTTTCCCTCGTCTGGGACTCGAGACAACTCTGGTCGTGCAACTCCGTAATATAAGGCAGTGCTACTAGTAGAGACTGAACGATTTTGTTGGATTGAACAAGCTCGGATACACATCTGAAACCTAGTACAGCTATTGAACCACTCAGTAAGATAATACATAGTTCTGCAGATACATTCAGCGAACAGGTTGAAGCGTACCGGAAGTAGTGTGTCGATTCAGTCCCAATGCGTCCTCCACTGCAGCCACCTCTCGTGGTACTCTTCAGATACAGAAATGGCCTTGCTCCAGTCCCTGCACACTAATGTGTCCCCCACTCTGTCCTTCTCGTAATCGACATCCAGAAAGTCTCCCATTTCCAGCGTATGTGCAGCATCACACATAAGAGTCTGCCGAAGATAATTGAGACAGTGATGTGCGTGATGATCATTGGTCAGGGGTTCGTCACGGCTGTAGTCGAGGAGGGCTTCCTGCAGTATCCATAAACAGTGAAGCTGATGACCGAAGACCAGCACGAAAAGTCGCTGCTCTGGTCCTAGATGGGTGCGACCAACTATTTTCGGCCAACTTGGAAGGCTTTCCCACTCCAGTTGAGATTCTGTATCAGATGCGTTTAGAGCGAAATGCACACTCTCGTGAAGAGTCATCGCGACGGCTTCATGGGTGAGATCGACGGGAAATTCCCATGGGTAATCGTCACCAGCGTAAGTGTATTCTATAGATTCTAAAGTGGGGAGGTTAGTCTTTCATGTTTTTGCTTCGACACGTATGGGAGGTACTTGCGATGTTCTGCCGGTTGCAGTCGGATGTGACCATGCCACATGGTGGCAAGTATAGTAAGCATTCCGAACATCCAACCAGCTGCCAGTTCTACTCGAGACATCATGGATACTGATCACCTGATTCTGAAGGTACTAGTAGTAACGCAAGTTCTTGATTATTATTAAGCGCAGGTATCTGCTGATATATGATTAGCACTGCCAACTAATTTGCCATAGCCCTAAAATACTTTACCCCGGTCAAGTTAGAGCTCCTCGTGGATCTCGCATATGGACTGGTTGATTGTCCGGCGCGGCCAAACCTGTCCTTTCGTATGATTCAATCAGCACGTGATTGCGCTGAGTCGAGAGACAGTTTCTACATTTATATACCGCAGAAATTGTTAAGACGCGATGCTCTAGTACGTACGAGATGGGGAGATTGCCGATAAATTTTGTTTTGAAATGTTGATGTTTTCTGGCTTGCAGTCGGAGAATGGATTTACCGGGAACGCCTCCTTCAAGTTCTGTGGGCTGCATGCCGGCGTTGCCACATGGTGATTCTGATGATTCTGATTCTGATGCTGATGCTGATCGCAGCGACTGTAACGCCCACAATGTTGGGCACCTGGGAAATCACCGACGGATAACAGAAATGAAATCGAGCTGCTTTTCCACCTCACCCATGGCAACCAGGCTTTGTGGCATCATGATCTACTGACATCTCCGTCACCCTGAAAGATGTACCGTAAGGTACTGAGGTTAATTCTCTCTGATAATCCAATGTGATAGGTGAGTAGCTGAGCTAGACCAACTATTACCATCATTCATGCACACGGCTAGACTGCAGGATTCAGATGTAGAATGACAACTTCGTTCGTAGAAATATGTGTGGAGTTGACAAAACAACTCATACAGTCGGATCCGATGCGGTCAACCGCTTAACGAGGAGAGACTCCAGTGAGTACTGTTATATGGCGTCCCAATCCACCTGTCGAGCTCAGCCTGATCGACCTGGATCACGCAGACATATTTACGGCTATCTTCGCCATATCGATGGACTAGAATTTGAAAAATTTGCTTAGCCGCCTTATTTGTTATTGGAACAAGCCGACAGGGGCGCTTATGCGTTGCTAACTACTTTTTACAGTAAGTCGTTATAAGTAACCTTAGTTGTATGGGGCGGTACAAATGTTGTAATGAGACATTAGAATCGTCGCAGCGCATGCACACTGATCTCCGACCAGCTGCACATGGTGTTGGTAGCACCGTACTACTAGTACTTAGGTGACCTTCATGGTCAAGCGACGAATCCCTCATCTTGCAAGATACTACAATGTTGTCAATGGTAAGTCATGCTCCTCCGAATCGGATGAGACTCCAGCATGATTTTTCTAGTAGGCCCTATGCTGCTATGCATCAGCGTCGTGGGGTTGGATACCACTCCAAAAATGGTTACAAACCTGGAAGTGCTGTCGTGCCGGCCTTAAGATGTTCAGTGCTAGCACTTTAACCACAAGGTACTGGCAACACTTATGATCAGTACAGCCATACTTGTAAGTCCGCATCAGTCAACTGTTGTGCACTGAATCTGAGTGCCAAGTTCCTTCGTACCTTTGACAAGAATATGAGGAACGACTACTATCCCTGAATTCCAACCACTTCATTTTAGGTGACCCCTCGCCGAGCTGATGTTTAAAAGGACCCAACTACCAATCTCATCTGTATACAACAACGCATTCTAGCCAGCGAGACTTAGCTGACGGTCGCATTCAATACCATGATCCTGCCCAACATCAGCTTCCATATCTTACTCATGTCTGTGGCCTTTGCGCGAATCCCAGCAGCAGTCGCTACTAGTGGCTCGGCATGTCGCAGGACCGGTGACGATGTGGATGGTATAGACTGTGAGTAGATTCCGGCGATGGTGTAGGACTCGACTGATGACTTTGAACCTCTAGCAAAAGAAGGAGCGAGTTGCTTTTAAATCCTCAAGGCAGCGGATATAAGTTGATGTAAAGAATAATGAGACCAGCAGCCGGAACGGTCATCATTTCGTATTTGATTGCTATACACAGTGACAGTAGCCTTCAACAACAAGTTATTTCGCCAGTTAATGGGAACTGTTGCTCTACGACCTGTCCTGGGACTGTGTACGACATAAGGAAAATAGGCAAGTATGGTACGAATAGCCGATAAAGTTTGTTTTGAAGTATTGATGTTTTCTGGCTTGCGCTAGTCGGAGAATGGATTTACCGCTATCTCGATAGAAGGAACTACTCGAACAATCGCTCCTTCAAGCTCATCGTCGATTGCTTCGATCGAACTACAGCAATCGCTCAAGTCAGGCTATTTCAAAGTTGACGGCATATCCTTGCTCGGAGGTGCTACGTTGTGGTGTAGGATCCAAAACAGTAAAAACCTGTAGGTGCCGTCATCCCGGCCTTCAGATATGGGTCAGTACTAGTACTCTGAAACCTTTACCGCTTTACCGCCAGGCAATGCTTTACAGTTAATACAGCCATGTCAGTAAGTAAGTCTGCATCAGTCAATCGCTGTGCACCGAATTTGAACGCCGACTTCCATCTTACCTTTGACAAAAATATGAGAAAATACTATCTCTAAATTCTAATGCAATGTGCTTCACTTGGGTAAACATTGGGTAAACCCTCGCCGAGCTGATGTATAAAAGGGTCCAACTACAATCTCATCTGGTACCATCTTAATCAACAAGTCTTAGCTAACAGTATCATTCAATACTGCCATGATCCTGCCTAAAAACATCTTACTCTTGTCTGTGGCCTTCGCGCAAATCCTAGCAGCACCCATCACCAGTGACTCGGAGTGTGATAGGTGCTTGAGTGACGATGTAGATGGTATAGGCTGTGAGTAGGTCCCGGTGATGGTGTAGGACCCAGTGGCTGATGAATTTGAACCTCTAGTAAGAGAAGTGGGTAATAAGGCCAGCCCGGGCGATATCTTTTAAAGGCTGGATGCAGCGGAGGGTTGAACGTCGATGTAAAGAATAATGAATCAGTAGACGGGACGGTCGTTTTGTATATGATCATCACTATACACATATACATAGTGACAGTGGCTTTCGACAGCAAAATTGTATTACCAATTTATTATTTGAGTGGGTAGTGAGAAATTATACTACTACTAAGACTGTACTTGATGACGATGGCGGAACTCTCTGTAAGACAATACATTTTAATCTAGGGAACCTGTGTCCCACCGCGCCTACATTCAAGGTTCGCACAGTTAAGTATACGCGGACGAAGGGGGAGAAGGGAGTTGTTCTAGTAACGGTTACTAGTTCCGTACGTCGTGCGACTTGACAAATTCAAAGTTATGGAAAAACCATTCCCGAATTTTAAACCCATGCATTGACCCCCTGGGTTGAGCTGGCATTTAAAAGGGCCCAACTAATCTCATCTGGAATAAGGCAACGCATCTTATTATTAACCAGCGAGCTTCGGGCGACGGTATCATTCAACACTATGAGCGTGCTCAACACCAGCTTCTACGTCTTACTCTTGGCTGTGGTATTCACGCGATTCACAGTGGCAGATAAATGTATCGGGGGTGGTGATGACGAAGATGATGGTATAGCCTGTGAGTAGTCCCAAAGTAGTCCCTGGTGATGGCGTAGGACTTGCTGATGAATTTGAACCTCTAGTAAATGATTCAACTGGTGACGCGGGACCCTGCGGCTTTTAAAAGCTCGATCTGGCAGCGCAAGGTTGAAAGTTGATGTAAAGAATGATGGATCAGTAGCCTAACAGGACGGTCATTTCGTACATGATCACTAAACACATATAGAGACAGTAGCCTTCATGAACATGTTAATCGAAGGTGAGGTGACTTTCAAGGTTTGCGCAATCAAGTATGCGTTCCAAACCAAGGGGGAGAAGGGGATTATTCTAGTAATGGTTAGTACTTACCGTACATCACGCGACTTGGCACATTCGAAGTTTTGGAAAAACCATTCCCGAATTCATTCCCCCTTCGCTGAGCTAACATTTCAAAGGGCCCAACTAATCTCATCTGGAATAAGACAACGCATCTTAACCAGCGAGCCTTAGGCGACGGTACTATCATTCAATAATATGAGTGTGCTCAACACCAGCTTCTACGTCTTACTCTTGTCTGTGGCATTCACGCGATTCAGTGGCAGCAACTAAATGTATCTGGACTGATGACGACGTGGATGGTATAGCCTGTGAGTAGGTCCCGGTGGTGGCGTAGGACTTGGCTGATGAATTTGAACCTCTAGTACATGGAGGAAAGAAATGCTTTTGAAGCCTCCTTGATAATGCAGCGACGGGAAGGTTGAAGTCGATATAAAGAATAATGGGATAACAGACGAGACGATGACATCTTGTACATGATGTAGTGGCAGCCTGTAGCCTTCCTGGACAACAAATTAGTATACTACCAAGATTGTGCTGGCTGACAATACATACCGTAGCATTCCAGTATCGTAACGGCGCTCGGCGGCCCCACAGAATCATCTTCTTGCGAGAAAAGCCTATTTGACGTCCAACACCAGCTGGTGTGCATATGCTCAGGTACTGAGTGTACGTATACCTTGTACTAACAGTCAGTGTAATCTCGCGCAGTATCCAATGCTCGTGCGACTTGGGGTGGCAGCCATATACCTTCTTGCGATCGTGAACGATTCGTGATGCTGACTCGGATGCTTAGCAACAATATGTGTCGATGCTGCTCGTTGCCAAACTTGAAGCTTGAACTCACAGAACAGGTAAGTTAATAAATCACCGCTATAAAGTAATACCGTAGATGACTTACCCACGCCGTGTCAGTCACATCAGTGCAATCGATGGACCATCATGGAAACAAGTTCAAACCTAAGGGAACTGCTCAAATCACCGCGGAATGATGGACGATTTGATTGACTGGTTATACCATATGCTACATGCATATTGTAACTCCACGCTCACATGATGTGCATAGCCATCAAATACTTGAGCGCCCATTTCATCCAAACTCCATATCGGCCTCCATAGAACAAGTCCACAGCTTCAAGATTCTCTTCCATGCTGATTTAACGCCGCATTCGCGTGTTTGAAGTTTTGGATGAATATATTTTTCAAGACCGATTGCGAAATCAAGCGTCGAAGAGCCATATATAGCGCTAGCACGACTGATATGATGATCAGCCTCCCAAACACCGCCGTTTCATTTCGGGCGATGGACAAACAGCCGGAATAGTCCATTTTGAACGTCGAAACATCCTTCTTAGGTGTACATAAAGGGTTGCGTCCTGCTCGTTGCTAGCTCGCTCTCGAAACACGCCCCATACGTCCAACTTCCAATGACCGAAGTTACAGGCAAAGTAGATTTCAAAGTCGGAGATGACACGTACCAGACTTGGTACAAAGTCGTCGGCGATCTCACTTCGGGTGCCCACCCTCTCATCGTGCTGCACGGTGGCCCCGGCGTCTCGCATGAGTATATGACACCTCTCGTCGAAATCCACAACAAATGTAACATCCCCGTCGTCTTTTACGACCAGATCGGCATCGGAAAGTCCTTTTTTGAAGGTGTGGCGGACAAGCCCAAAGAGTTTTGGACCGTTGATCTCTTCGTGGATGAGCTGGAAAACCTTCTTGCCCACCTTGGTGTCCAGAATGGCTTCGCTCTTCTAGGTCACTCCTGGGGAGCGATGCTAGGGGCACACTACGCCAGCCACAGACATCCTGTGGGTCTCAAACACCTCGTCATCACCAGCGGAACGCCGTCCATGGCACTGTGGGAACAGAGCACCCGCCAGCTGCTGCAAGCGCTGCCAGCGGATGTGAGGGAGACGATTGAGAGGCACGAAAAAGAGGGGACAACGGATAGTCCTGAATATGAAAAAATGGTAGGGATCTTCTTTGAAAAGCACGTTTGCAAGAGCCCCTGGCCAAAGGTGATGGAAACGTCCTTTGCGGCAATGATGCAACATCCCACCGTGTATCATACGATGTAGGTGATATCTTGACGGACCTGTCTGATATGTACTGATCATGAATTCCAGGAATGGACCGTCGGAGTTTACGATCACGGGAACGCTGAAGTCATGGTCGTGTCTGGATCAGATTCACACAATCACGACACCTACTCTGCTCACCAACGGTGTGATGGATGAAGCGCAGGACGTCTGCATGAGTCCTTTCTTCCAGAGAATCCCGCATGTGAAGTGGGCGCAGTTTTCGCAGCGTCACATGCCATTCTTGGAGGAGGAGGACCAGGCGAGATACTTTCAAGTGGTGGCTGATTTTTTGACATATGCTTGAATAGTTAATCCTGTAAAATATAAGACTGAATGCACGAGAATGGAATGACCAGTTATTTGCACCTTCCATGGGTTCAGGGAAGGATACACAATGAGAGGGCGGCCGTCTGCTATATGTTAGGAGAGCTTAGAGATACTATGAACAAATGAGGTGGCAAAGTGAGATGGGAATCCGGATGTAGACTTTGGTTTGTGTACGGGATTTGCCGAACGCACAACAATGATATTTGTTATTGAGCTTGACACAGTACCTTATGCATTCACCAAAGACATGGAAAACATACTATCAATCGGGGCAGGCGTCGCTCTGCGCGTCGTGCTCGACGTTGCAACAGGCAAAGATCACAAACTCGTAGGTTGGTCTCGAGCAGTCTCTGATTTTTTTTTAAGTATATCTAATTAACTTCGCTGCAAGGCATACTTATCGGACTCTGGGAAGGCGTCGTGCTCTCGCACTTCCTCTCAAAGCACACCCGCTCTCGATCGAGGTCAAAAGACCCATACCTCGCCCTTGCTACGCGCGTAGCAATTGACATTTACTTATCACAATCACTTTCTCGCTTTGCCCTCACATGTGCATGGACGCTGGTCGGGCTCCTCCTTGCAGACGTCGCTCCCGGAATATGGCGCGATACAGGGTTGAAGAATGTTTATAAGACACTTAGGAGGGAAGTGAGATCTATAATGAAGGCCATGCCGCGCTGGAAGGTCAAGAATGACTTCCGGGTACCGAAAATTTCCATCAAATATCCCGTGCGAAGCTTGTTTAGACGTGCTCCACCATCATCTGTTGTTTCGAGTACCCGCGCTGCACCTCCTGCTTCACCCTCCCAACAAATGCACAAAAGGCGCATGCCACTCGGGACGCACTCTGGCCGTCCTGCCCTTTCCGAAACGAATTCTGAGCTCAGTCGCGTCCGCGAAGTCGTCCCAGGTCCATCCCCAGCATTCATATCAACCGCCGTCGATCCCGCATGTCTTCCACCTGTCGATCTGCACTCCCAACATATTTCACACCTCTCCGATGCTGGGCCTTCGAGACACGATCCTATAATTATTCAAGATGACAGCTGGGTGCACGTTAGTGTATCTACACATTCGCTAGAACAAGGGCAGGACCCAGAGCTAAGTGCACTCGACATTCCTCCACTTACATCTGAAAGCCAAACGATCACCGCAAATATCGAAGTTGTTTCTCCAACACCTCGCGTGCACGCCAATGCCCTCCCTAAAATCACTGCTCACCAAGTGCCACTGCCAGAATCACGGCCGGCATCCGTCATGGGCAGCGTCCTCTCCCTATTTGGCGCGAAGAATATACTGAGCCGCGTGCGAAGCGACAAGACTACCTCGGACGTGGGAATCGATGCTACTCAACATCAGGCAAGCACGGCTGAGTGGGAGCGTCCAATTTCCAGACAAGGACAGCCTCAGCCCAGCGCAGTGACAGGACACCGCCGCGTGGGTTCAGGCCCTGGACCGTCAATGCTCAGGCATGCAGATGATGATGATGATGATGACGACGACGACGAATCGGTGGTGGGTTCAGTGGTAGGGAAAGGCGCAAGAACTGAGCCAATCTTCGGCAGTAGGTCAGAGTCTCTGTTGGGTACTGGTACTACTGGAGGAGCAGCTTTCGTAGGCGGACTTTCTGCCGAGGTAATTGCACCCGAAGCTTTTGTGGGTGGGTTTGCAGTGGAATATACCAGGAATGAGTTGGCCATCCAGTCAGACATTGCGTCTCAAAACCCACCCGTGCACCCCTCTCAGACACCCATCCTTCCTGACGCTTTAACTACGAGGTCTACAATTACCGATCCTAAACCTCTCGACGGGGTTCACGCATCGAACACTGATGATATCACAGGCATCAACGTCAACACCACCGCCGACAATCCCCTCCCGAACTCCATCTCCAATGCAGACGACCCTGGCAGCAACCATAATCTTGCTCTTACCGCCACTCAAAAACCAGAAAAACCAGGAAAGTCAGAAAGGAAGAAAAGAGGACCTAAGAATGCTATACAGCCATCCATTCAGAACGCCACACCCGGTGCACCTGAGACTACCCCCCAAGACCAGCAGAGCTCTTCCCGTGCTCAAACACCAGGACCTAACTCTCAAAACCCCGCAGGCTCTGCATCAGACCCCGTTCCCACTCCAGATGGTCCAACGCAAGATGCGGCTGTTCCTGTGCAGCATACGACAGGGATAGACACAAACACAACAAAGCACGGGCACATCCGTGGTATGCAAGGATCCGACTTCCCTGACAGCAGCCCTAATTCGCCGCCACCGCCCTTCAAGGAGGTAGGGACGCCTATTGAGCCGACCCTTCTTACCCCAGAGCAGACCGAGCGCGAATCCCTACGTGGGGAATTCTTGATGCGGGAGCTGAAGCAGTTGGAGGTGCTTATCTCGAAAGCGGAGAGTGGGACAGGGCGGGGAAGTCCAAGTGCATTGAGTGTGGAGAGGTTAAATGGGCTTAAGGAGAGGCTTGAGATGGTCAGAGAGAGAGTTGAGAGGAGGGTTTACGAAGGTGCTTCTTTGATTTGAATCCTTTTGGTTTTGGGCACGGTGCTGAATCTTCCACTTTCTCTTACCATGCACAGACCCCTCTGGCGAACTCGAAACCCCACATCAACTCACCCTTTCAGGTATCGACGGCCCGTCAGCCGTTGACCTTGTACATACTGCCATTGTAGATCTGCTCCTGGAAACGCCTCATGCCGAACCATTAGCGGTCGTTGGATATATCAACAAGCAGAAGAAGGGAGGCGGAAAGGCGGGTGACTTGAAGAACGCTGTTGTAGATTGGGTAAAAGAGTGAGTTTTTTACCGCGTTGTTCCGCCCGCTTTTTAGCAGATGGGTTTCATGCTATTTTCTTTCTTCTTTTCTATGTGGCTTCGCACTAATGCCTTACATTGTAGGAACAAGTTCAAGGTCCGGAATGACTTGGGGACACCATTTATTCTGAATATCACGTTTTAAATGTTCATGTATTACACGCCCATTGACCACCATGTCCACAACGCTTTCACCACCAGTGTCGTATTCGCAACTACCCCACGGATGTTTTGTTCATGTGGATTTTATCTCAACCATGCGAGTACCCTACTCCACTAATCATGCCACGATATCGATATCTCACCTATACGATTTCATTACCTGGATACAAACGTTGCTGGACAACGTTGTCTCTGTTCTTTATGCTCTGATTTATGGTCGCTCACATATATGCAGTACAAGTACTGTATTCTTTTGTATATAGTTTTTTATGTTGGGTGAATAATTACTTCAATGGATTTTTGATTGTCCTGTATATATGATTTACGGGACTGCTGGGCATGTGATTCATTGCACATGGGCAATCAAACACTTCGGACTCCGGAGCATCAAAACACCCGCGGTGTGGGTCGAGCATCATGAGATGGACAAGGAAGTTGCGCA